TATATATATATGTATATATTATTCACAAAGATCATATTCTGCAGATTTAAAGACGTAGTGAGGTCATCTGTTTGTTTATGTTTTGATAAAAGTAAATAAATCTGCAGTTCTTACTAAACTGTAGGTCAGAAAGCTCTCCGTGTACAGGATCAGACATAAACACCAAGTACATGAAACAAGAAGAGATGACCTGCAATCACCTAAACCATAGACTGTTTAAACCATAGACTGTAAATAACAATAACAATAATAATAACAATAACAATAAAAATAATAATAATAATAAGGTTCGTGTAATGACATTTGAAATAACATTGGCTGAAATGCAGGTTAAGAAAAAGACATTAGAAAGGAAAGAGCCAGAGGAGGATTATAACCAGGTGCTGTGTTGTGTTTGTGTTGTGTTGTGTTGTGTTGTGTTGTGTTGTGTTGTGTTGTGTTGTGTTGTGTTGTGTTGTGTTGTGTTGTGTTGTGTTGTGTTGTGTTGTGTTGTGTTGTGTTGTGTTGTGTTTGTGTTGTGTTGTGTTGTGTTGTGTTGTGTTGTGTTGTGTTGTGTTGTGTTGTGTTGTGTTGTGTTGTGTTGTGTTGTGTTGTTGTTGGTGTTGTGTTGTGTTGTGCTGTGCTGTGCTGTGCTGTGCTGTGCTGTGCTGTGCTGTGTTGTGTTTGTGTTGTGTTTGTGTTGTGTTGTGTTGTGTTGTGCTGTGCTGTGCTGTGCTGTGCTGTGCTGTGTTTGTGTTGTGTTTGTGTTGTGTTGTGTTTGTGTTGTGTTGTGCTGTGCTGTGCTGTGTTGTGTTTGTGTTGTGTTGTGTTGTGTTGTGTTTGTGTTGTGTTGTGTTGTGTTGTGTTGTGTTGTGCTGTGCTGTGCTGTGCTGTGTTGTGTTTGTGTTGTGTTTGTGTTGTGTTGTGTGTTGTGCTGTGCTGTGCTGTGCTGTGTTTGTGTTGTGCTGTGCTGTGCTGTGCTGTGTTGTGTTTGTGTTGTGTTGTGTTGTGTTGTGTTGTGTTGTGTTGTGTTTTTGTTTGTGCTGTGTTTGTGTTGTGTTTGTGTTGTGTTGTGTTGTGTTGTGCTGTGCTGTGTTTGTGTTGTGTTTGTGTTGTGTTGTGTTGTGCTGTGCTTGTGTTGTGTTGTGTTGTGTTGTGTTTGTGTTGTGTTTGTGTTGTGTTGTGTTGTGTTGTGTTGTGTTTGTGTTGTGCTGTGCTGTGCTGTGTTGTGTTTGTGTTTGTGTTGTGTTGTGTTGTGTTGTGTTGTGTTGTGTTGTGCTGTGCTGTGCTGTGCTGTGTTTGTGTTGTGTTGTGTTGTGTTTCTGTTTGTGTTGTGTTGTGTTGTGTTGTGTTGTGTTGTGTTGTGTTGTGTTTCTGTTTGTGTTGTGTTTGTGTTGTGTTGTGTTGTGTTGTGTTTGTGTTGTGTTGTGTTGTGTTTCTGTTTGTGTTGTGTTGTGTTGTGTTGTGTTTGTGTTGTGTTGTGTTGTGTTGTGTTGTGTTGTGTTGTGTTTGTGTTGTGTTGTGTTGTGTTTCTGTTTGTGTTGGTGTTGTGTTGTGTTGTGTTGTGTTGTGTTGTGTTTGTGTTGTGTTGTGTTGTGTTTGTGCTGTGTTGTGCTGTGTTTGTGTTGTGTTGTGTTTGTGTTGTGTTGTGTTGTGTTTGTGTTGTGTTGTGTTGTGTTTGTGTTGTGTTGTGTTGTGTTGTGTTGTGTTTTGTTTGTGTTGTGTTGTGTTGTGTTTGTGTTGTGCTGTAACTTTGTGTCAACACTCACAGACTCGTCCTTTAACTCGTCATTTGACTTTTCTTCTACTAAACATGACTTACCCTCCATCGACACGTTTGAGGACTTCCCCTTAGAAACGTTACAAAACTCAAAATCCTCTCTTGGTCCACGAAAAGGGGGAAAGTAAATTCCAACAGCGTGTTTCCAGAACAACACAAGATACTACTTCCTCTTACTTCTTCTTCTTCTTCTTCTTCTCCGGCAGACTTTGAGCTTGTGCGGAGTGACGTCGCCCCCTCGCGGTGATTTGAGCGACATTACAAAAACATTTACAGCAACATTGGATCCCGTTCAGCCTCTGGGGTAAAACTTTTCAAAGGAAACACAATGTGATGCAATAGGCTAAAGTATCAAAACGTATTCATTTCACGGTTAAAGTTGTAATGCAGCCATTGACCACAGACTACTATTTATTTATTTTTAATAGATACCTTTTCCTTTTCAGAGGAGTTTATGGAAATACAAGTTTTTGGTCTCAGGCTCCCCCTATTTCTTCTCACAGATCAAATAGAAGACTATATCAGCCTCCTGAATAGACATTTCAAATGACACCATCAAAAATGGGTTTCACATGTACCTCTACATAATTCACTGAACATTATTACTGTTGTGTAACAACTGTTGGCAGTCAGTTTTGGGCACATGAAAAGACCGAGATCAGACCCTGAAAAAGAACAGGATAGGCTTCGTTATGACTTCTTCACATAATGATTCAAGACAGTTCTTCTCCTCCTCATAAATCTGTCTTCTTCTTGATCTACCTTCATGGTATAAATGTAGACTACTTTTGTTTTAATTCATAATCAGCTTAAAGTTTCTCTCATCATTTCTCCTCAGACATCCATCCCCCTCCTGTTGGACCAGTCCTCACAGTCTGCAAAACCACCTGAACCACTGGACATGTTTGAATGCTGTGACATGGACTTTGGAAGCGATTAGTGATCAAAATTCAAATGATAAAGCTAATTTGAAAATGAAAATGCATTATCAGAAACGCTTTTTAATTTTCAGAATATGAGTGTATTATTTAACTCAAAAATAAAATGATTTATTTTTCTAATTTGAATTTTTAGTTTTCAACTTCAAAATTGCACATTCTTTGACTAAATTAAAATGAAGAAGAAAATGACGTTTGGTTTTTCATTTTCAAAAACAAATATCATAATTCAAATGAATAATTTTAAAATGAAAATACAGTAACAGAAACACGTAATTTTCAGAATATAGGTGCATTATAGACATGCCTACAGTGTGATATTGAGTAGTAACTTTTTCTTCAAGATTTTTTTGGGCTTTTATGCACACAAACTACACACTAGGCCACCAGTGCACTGACTTGATTTTTTTTTTACCCTAACTCTTCTGGTTGATATTGATGGTTTATATACAGTCCCACATACAACACAATTAAAGAACTGGCAATCAAGCTGAATGCACTTCTGCTTTTCTTATTTGATTCAAACACTTCTTTTTCTAAAAAACAATAAATAGATATTTTTTGCAAAATATTTATTGAATACATCTTTTTTTTTTTACAAACAGTTTTCAAAGTGCAAACTGAAACATACGATGTATCTTACATTAAAAATAGCCAGAAACTCCAGTTTTCTGATACATCCAAACTTAATTCAATAAAAACCTTTATCTGCGTTTATTCTACAAACAAAATTCCACTGTAAATATATAAATACCAAGGCAAAGTTAGCCCTTTATATAAAAAGTTTCAATTCAAGGATTATCCCTTACTTCCCTTTAAGTAAAATCTGAAAGTTCTGGCGTTTCTGTTTTTAACAGAGTCTCACTCCATCCTGTAGAACGATGCATTGCAGCCTCTCAGAGGATGTTTCCCTTTACATGATCAATACTCCCTAAAGATGTGGAAATGTGTTTGATTGTCTCAGATGTGACTGAAAAACAGACACCAGATTAAACTGGGCATCCATGGAGTCGGTTGTCTCTTAGCCAGAAGGTCGGGGGTTCGATCCTCAGCTCCTGCAGCCACAGGTTGAATGTTTCCTTGGGCAAGACACTAAACCTCAAGTTGCTCCCACTGCTTTGTTGGCCGGTGTATGAATGGGATTAGTTAATACTAATGGAAGATTTACGCCACATGATGCCATCAGTGTGTGAATGTGTAGGTGTGACCTGCGGTGTAAAAGCACTTTGAGTAGTCAGAAGACTAGAGAAGAGCTACACAAGCTCAAGTCCATTTACCATTTTAACCCCAGACATATGAGGTTGCTTTAACTTAGATATAGAAGATACACTCTTTATATTTACATGGTTTGATAAGAGTTTGTTGGTCAGCTGTCACTCTTGATTCCACCGATCAAACGACAACTTGTTTTAAACAGTCTATAGATTCTAATTCATGAAGGGATGTTGGGAAGAAACTTGATTGAAATAAAATCTGGTTCCACTTTTTCTCCACCTGTGAGCAGGATTCTTGCTAAACATGCCTGTGCGACTAGTTTACATGTAAGGCATGTTTCCTGATTGATATCTTTCCCTGAAGATTCTCAGTTTAAATCCTCCCTCAGATTTACATACACGGAAACAAAAGGCCAAAAACACATCTAGATCAACAACCTGCGGTAGAGATATTTAGTTACGGTAACTACAACGAGTGGAAAAACCCAAACATAATTATTACACAAAAGCCAAACTTATCTTTGGCAAATCTTTGGTTCTTTGTTTGTGCAGCTCAACAGCCAAACATGATTTAAAGATTTCAGTCGTGGAGCAGCTGCATCCAGTAAATGAGATCATCAGTAAGTTCTTTGTACATAAAAAAACCCCAATATATCTCAGTGTAAAATCAAGTTCTCTGATTATTATTCTGATGCGTCATTGTGTTGAGGCAAAATAATGGAGATACAACTTTTTGAACTCTAGAGGTTTTGATCAGCTCAGATTTTTCATTCTAATAAATGTTTAGGTCTATTAGTGTGTCAAAGCTTCGGGAAAAAACAAATTGACATCCACGGAATTTGATCTTGATCCTTGAGATACGAAGGTTTTGAACAATAAAAGAACAGTGGTTTCACTTTGTTGAATAACAAACATTGATACATTCACCTCCTACTAGTTTCAGTAGTAGAACTCACATTTAACAATAAAACAAATTAAAATAAACTCTGCTCTCTTATTGACCTCTCAGTGCTTCTTCACACTGCACACACTTTGAGTAGTAGTTCTTACTTGGTATGGTAACAGCTTTGTTGTGTGAGTGTGTGTGTGTGTGTGTGTGTGTGTGTGTGTGTGTGTGTGTGTGTGTCACCAGTGCAGGTGTAAGTGTGGGTGTTGGTGTAGTTGACAAAGTAATTCTTCTTCTGTTGGCTCCTGGATCTGCTCTCTGTAGCAAACAGAGAAGGAATAGTCATTAGACAAAGTTATTGATGACTTGAGGGTCTGATTGTTTTTGTTTAATGACTCAAAATAAAAACACGAGTGGACTTACCTGAACATGAGCTGAACAGATGTTTGATATCTGATCTTCTCCACATCTGTAACAGAGCAGCTGTGACTGCGATCCCACTTGTAGATGAAGTTCTGTTCAAAACAAAAACAGAGTGTGTGTCGAGTGTGTAATGAAGTTAAGGAAACCTTCTTTCTACTTTATTATTAAGACGTAAATCTGAAAGAAAGTTTACAAATTCATAGTTAAAGAAAAAAATCTGTAACTCTGACACCTAGTGGTTAATACTGGTACTGCAGTCCAAATTCAAAACATTGGAGAGAGCTGTCTAGATGACTTTTGAGTAAAAAGATGACACTGTTACTGTTTTTAACATCTCCTGTGTACAATATTGAGATTGTCGACTGAAACCCTGAAGTCATTTCTCAGACCGTGTTGAACTGACCTCCAAGATGAGCGCCACAAACAAGTTGACCCACATGACCGAGGAGGTGAGCCACCAACACACAAAGTAGATCTTGGACCAGCTGTGGAGAATAAACCACTTTCATCATCACCATCACAACCACCATCATCATCACCATCATCACCATCATCATCATCACCACTCCTGCTTGTTGTTTTTTCTTACTCTGTGGTGTATCTGCTGTATGCGTCCATGAAGGCCTGCCAGTTGTTGACCACCATGACGTTATAGAGCAAAAGGATGGTCGCCTGACAAAAAGGAGAGAACGTTATTTATTTTCATTCCTCTGTACTTTAATGCACAGCAGTCTTTACAGAAAAGTCATCAACATCATGTCGGACCCTTCCCTCCCCTCCCCATCGTCTCTTTGCACCGCTGCTGTAAAATGGTAAATGGACTTGAGCTTGTACAGCGCTTTTCAAGTCTTCTGACTACTCAAAGCGCTCCAGTACGCTGCAGAGTACTGTTTTATACTCTACTCTGACACATGACTGGTTTTTAACAGAGTTTTAAACACAGAAGTGCAACAAGGAGTTAAATAAGACAAGTGAGCAGAAAAAGAAAAACAACTTGAAGACGTGACCGTTCTCGTGTCTCACCCCGAAGTCATCAAAGTTATTGGGCCAGTACTCCAGCTGTTCATAGGTGCCACACGCCATGCTGAAGTTTGAGGTGATGTTCTCCATGGTGTCGTTGGTGAAGACACTGACACAAGTGTACACAAAAACAACAACAAACATGAGTACACGGGCCATCAGCGAGGACTCACTGAACAAGAGAACACCTTCAAATGAGCTGCTGATCTCAAAGGGTTTAAGATTTAGTCGCGCACGTTTGGGAAACAAACGCAGTCTGAATTAAATCTATTTATTTGTACGCTTAGGAAACACATTCTGTGAATATGACATCTGATGAGAGCACCAGGAACTTACTGGTGTACAGCTGGACTGGTTTCTAAGTCTGCTCAGTGTGCTTTTGTGATGCTCATCTGTATGGTTGATGATAAAAAACTATTGACAATTGACAATTTTTTGGCAATTAAACCTTTTTTCCCCCAATGGCAATTCACCTGTTGGCGAACGTTTAAAAGGTGGATCACCAACATTTGTCTGAAAAACCAACAGTTAGTTTACCTCATTAAAAGAAGTGCCTAAAGAAGTGGGTATACTCTAAATGTTTTCCCCCATTTTTTGTTTTACTCCTGCATACCTAGTCAGTTGGTACTAACCAATTAGCGACAGAGTAAAGGGTCACCACTTCACCATCTTTGGAAAACAAAATGCAGCATAATACTGAACATTATCAATCAATCACTGCTGTGAATCAGAGGAGATTTAGAAGTGGGTTTACTCTGGAGACTGAAAAATAAGTGGGTATACTCCTTCCAGGGTGAAGATTTTCAGAAACTGTTTAAGGTGTTTTTATGTGTAGACGGTGAAAAGTTTCTCCTCCGTTGAATTCATTGTGCGACGCTGTCACTTGTTTGTTTTGTGAAATAAAAACCCTCCTTTTCCTTCAAATGACTGCTGTGTCTCGTGTCTTAGTGCTCGTTCCCTAACGTGCTGATATATTGTTTTTTAACAGTGTTCACTCTGGGTTGGCACTGATTGCCCTTGAAGAGATTTTTTTTAAGTTGAGCACGCGTCTCACCTCATCTGAGGAGGAGGTTTGATGGCTCTTTCAAACAGCCAGATCCCAAACACAGCAAACACATAGTACACCACCTGCAGGGAGAGCATGAAGAAGACATTAACCTCTAAACGTGCTGGGCTCATTCCCTTTACATGTGAGCTCCTGAACACATCACTGCAGTCACATCAACCCTTCAACCTGTCACAGTTTGTAAAAACAAGGAAGAGGAGCCACGTGCAGATAGAAACAAAATGATGATTCCATCAGTTTAAATGCTTCTCCTTACTGCTTTGAGGACTCACAAATGAAAGTCAAACGTAACCAAAAACTTAATGCAAGAAGGCTCAATCACCTCAGTCCATAATGATGCACGTCATTCAACAGCCCATTTAAAAGCAAAGAAATAAACAAAGTGTGTAGATCAGGTGGTTAACCACTCACCACCAATATCCCTCCGAAGGCGCGGAGGTTCTTCAGCAGGTCCAACATTGTGCTCGCAACCAAAGCCATCAGCTGCAAAACAAGATGAGATTCATGAAGATTAAAACGGAATCCGTAGATTTAGTCAACCTAAGAGCAGACAAAGAGCCGGAGCTGAGGCGCGCCTTAAGTCTCCTGACAAACAACAAGCAGGTAGATCGTTCTCGTCCCTCGTACTGTAACTCGTCATCATTCAGAAACTCATAAGAGGGTGAATAATACAAAAATCATTCCCAGTACAGAGTGTGCTGATAAAGACATTAACCAACGTGTTTATGTCTGCTGTCAAAATGGACATGTTAATATGGGGTGTGTGTGTGGGACTTTCACAGCCAGCCTCTAGTGGACACTCGAGGAACTGCATCTTTTTGCACTTCTGTATTGGTTCCATTATTGAACACTGAGTTTACCATTGGTTATTGTACTACATCTACTGGCCTTTTATGAATTAACATGTTGATCGTAATGCCGTGTAGAAATATTCTTCAGAAAATGTTGTGATGATATGCTTTTGGCCTAGTGGTTGATTCGGTCGGCCCATGTACAGAGGCGGGTGCTCTCAAGTCCAGGTTTCAACCTGTGGCTCCTTTTTCTCTCTCTCTCTCTCTCTCTGAGTACCGAAGCACATTGAATTTACCAAAGAAAAAATGGATCCCGTATCTCATAGTTAAATTTTAGTTATTTATTTAAACTCAGTTGACGTTTTGTCCAGCTGCTTTGGATTCAATGTTTGGGATTATTGGAGAGAACGCTTACTGTAAAGCCTAATCTAAAGTTATAAAAACAGTGTTTTTATACATATACATATATATATATATATATATATATATATTCTGTTCAGAAAATAAACAAACAGGATACCGCAAGGGAAAAAAACCGACCACATTAATTAATATACAATATTGATTTATACATCTAAACCAATAATGATACATCATTTTCAACATTTTAGGGTTCCTACACATACACATATATATACACATATACATATATACACACACACACACACATATATACATACATATATATATAAAAAAAAAAAAAATTCTGGATGGATATCACTGTCATTAGAAAAGAAGTCTTTGCTGATTCCAGCAGCTTGTGGATTTTGTCTTTACGTACCTTGATATCTGGAATGATGCGCAGGAAGCGAAAGACAATCAGCATGTTGACCAAACGAATCATCTCCCACAGAGACATCACGCTTTGAGAGGACGGATTCCTGGTTTCAATACACACACACACGCGCACACACACACACACACAAGTTGAATTTAAGAGATTTTGTCGTTAATCTATAAAAGATCCTTTTAAAAGTATTTGTAATATCCTGCTATGACAAAAATATTCTTATGTTTATTCCTTTATTCCCTTTAATTACTGTCGTCGATCTTCTAAACTTATCATTCTGTTTTCAAATTTGATCACATGAATTTCGTCCTGGCCAGATTTTTAGACATAAGACAAATTTAAAAAAACATTAACTTTCAAATGAATTAAAGAACCTACCAGTGAGAATAAGGAATCCTGAAGGTCAAATATATAGTGATCTGTAGGATCTGATTGGGAAAAAAACAAACACCGGATGAAAAAAATAGAACCACATCCGATGTTCAGACCACATTTTCCTTCTGATTTTCTCTTTTTAAAAAGAAGTTATGAATCCATAAGGTTTACAGGTAGGATTGATATTGTAACCCTAAGACAGACGTGGTCATGCTGTTTTCTGCCTCTGCTAAAAAAAAAACTATTTACCTTGTTGCCCGAAAATGTGAAAGCTACTGTGAGGAGTTTTCAGCTGGTACTGAAACAGACTGAAATGAATGCTGACTCTATATCACATACATCAGGATGAGATACACCACGAGCTACCCCTGTACAGAACACGGAGAGTAAACACATAAAGGTACCACTTTGTTTACGCGTGTTGGGATTTGTTGCATGCTATAAGAAGATAAAAATAAAGGAACCCTTTTTCTTGTTTTTGCTCTTCAATAAAAAAAATATGTTTTTTTTTTTTTACAGAAACACTATTCATATGAAAATCTTGAGAGTGTGTGTGGTTATGCAGTGTTACCAGTAGTATGATGGTGAGGAGGCCGTCAAAGACGTTGTTCTTGTAGGACAGGTAACCTCTCCAGCCAAAGGCGAAGATCTTCACACACATTTCAAAGAGGTAGTAGAGGATGAAGCACAGGTTGATGCTCTGGCAGATAGACAGCAGGAAAGTGGAATGAGTTTAGTAAGTCATGTTCACAATGTTAAGGAGGCTGCATGGTTTAATGTTGCCTCACTGACCTGAAAGGGAAGCTAAAACAGAAAATCCTTATTTCACTAGTTTAACTAGACAATATGTCAATAAATAATCCAAATCTGTTCTTCAGGTGACGAGGCGTGCTGTCTTTTCTTTCTGTTACGGCTGTATGTTCCCTTCTGTTGTCTCCAGCTCAGGTGAAGCTTGTGATTGCACAATGACGCTGGCCTGAGTGTTTAAAAAGCCCAGTTTTGGCTTCAGGAAGAGAAGCTTTTGGAGTTGGGAGTGCTCAGCCAGGGATTGTTTGTTGTGTTTTAGAAAGAGTCTTTGAGTTGATCTTTGTTTCATGATTTAGCTTGTCTGTTAATAAATCCCTTGGTTTTGACTTTGTTAAGGTGTAGAGTGTGTTTTAATGGGTCTATTGTGGATGTTTGTTAGCCCCATAGGGGTGCCATACGGTGGGGCGTTTAATGTTTAAGAATCTTAATCCATTAACCATTTAATGACTGCACTCACCTCCATGATGTAGTTGTCTCTCTCTGCAGTGGTCTTTTCAGAGTTCAACACCAGAATAGTCTGAAAAACACAGAAGAAATATCATCACATGTTCGACCACATGAGGGTGTGAGTCTATATACATTAAGCAGCGCTGTGTTTATGTGTGTTTATGTGTGTTTACGTGTGTGTGCGTGTGTTTGTTTGCAACTTACACAAATGCTCATGACGTTGGCCAGTGCCATTGCGTTGCCCAGTATAGTGAGATAGTAATGACTGAAGACCACCTGAAGTCTCTGCAGGATTGGGGAGTCATACTGGGGCAAGGGAGGGTGCTGGAGGACCACACACACACACACACGCACACACACACACACGCACACACACACACACGCACACACACACGCACACACACACACACACACACGCACACAAAACCATAAACAGTCAATAACATGAAACAGATGTGATACGTTTGTATGATTTAGAATGAATCTTGGAGCAGCAGAGTCTGTATACAAAGCTTTACCTCTTCTATGCGATCTTTGTCCAGCTCGTCAAAAATCTTCCTGAACTGCTCTCGGTCCATGTAGCCCACGTCTGCACACTGCTGCGCCTCCTAAAGGGCAACATGAGATACAGGAAAAACAGCCAAGGTGAAAAAAAGACGAAGGGTGTCTCTTATGTAAATGTATTTTAATTAAAATATTATTGTTCTGTAAGGATTAATCATAAACTATATAAAACATGGATGTAGTCTCAGTGACATCACCAATTGGTTTTTGAGGAGCCGTTATGAAGCTGGTGCTATACTGCTATATTGAAAATGCAATCTCAGCCTAACTTTGGAATAGTCTAGTGACAGACAAAGACGAGGAGCTGAGGTTAAGACTCCTCACAAAAAACTACAGCTGCGCCCAAGATGAGGTGTAACATTCAGGAGGAAGCGGCAGAAAGACAACCCAAAGTCATAATGTCACGGACAAACTTGAAGCTGATGCAGAATAATAAAAAAATACTGATATAAATATAAACGTATGAAATGAAAATCTGGTTCTGCTCGAGATTTCTGCCTGTTGAAAGGAAGATTTTCACAGCTACTGTTGTCAAAGTGTTTGGTCATGGTGGGTTAATGTTGGGTCGTGTAGTGCCGTGTAGACCCGCTCTTTGTTGATTAGATGCTAAGAGAGATCAAAATTGATTGATATTAGAGAGTGACATTTGTCTCTTACTGTAGTGACGGCTGCTCTGTAGTAGCTTTTCATCTGGACCCTTGACATCACCTGCAGCACTGCATCAACACGCACACACTCCCTGACAGACAAAACAACACACAAGTCTAACAACACACAAGTCTAATCTTTTTCTTTTCTATTCGATTCAGCTTTTCTTGTCGAGATGTTTCAAAATAATCCTGGCTAACATACATTTAAACACAAAGATTAAAACACTACAAACATCAAAATGAATAGTAAACCCCCCAGGTAACACCTGTGCTATTAAAATGATTTCCTATAAATACATGTGAATGGTGTGTGTGTGTGTGTGTGTGTGTGTGTATCCCTCACACAGCAGCTTGTTGCACTCCTTGACAGCTGAGGACTTGGAAAGCAGCTCGGATCCCCAGTCGTCTCCTGATGATGGACGTCTGGACTGACAGCTACAAGGGAAGATGAACACAAACAGTCACTAAATGGTAAACGGACTGACCTTTTGCTTTTCTGGTTGTCTGACGACTAAAAGCATTTTTACCACCACATGACACATTCACCCAGTCTCACACACTCACACACCGCTGGCTTTGTCCGTCAGGAGCAATTTAGGGTTTAGTGTCTCTCCCAGGGACACTTGGACATTTAGACATCAGACCACAAAACCTTCACATTGAAAGACGAACAACTCTACCAGACTGAATGTCAGCACAATGTTTATCCATTGAACATGTGTGTTCTTTTTCCGTCTTTGGTGTGAAAGAGTTCAGATGTTAAGATTCTCTTAAGAAATCCAATAAAGAAAAACCTGAGTTTCTTCAATCTCAGCAAAATGAGCTGGATTTAAAAACAACCATCAGGGCATGGTCCACCTAGCTTAGCATACAGACTGAAACACCAGAAGGCCCTTTAGTAACCATCCAAGGAGCAATGCCTAGCAGAATAAATATATATATGTATATGAATTTTGTATCTTGTAGTCCCAGTTTACAACTTATCACAGTCTTGTTTTCTGGGTTTGCTGGAGGTTACTTTGGTTCTTTACTAATTTATAACGTGGATATTGTCCTGGGGGTGGGCTACGTTTTTGCAGTTGCAGGTTGGTTTCTGACATTTTTCAGTAAAAGATGATTTCATATCTCTTGGGCAAACAATGAAATGACTTTATCATTTTAAACTTCCTGGTATTGGGATCATTGTGGTCGGCCTGCAGCTCAAGACAGCTTTTTCTATCCCTCACTGGTTCATGCCTCGGAAAGCATCCCTTGTAAGTTTATTTACATGTGCAGCTCTGGATCTCTACACACAAACTGCTTGATATATTTTGATGCATTCTGTAACATTTGAAAATAATTATAATAATTAAAAAAAGCTAAGCATTTAATTGGTGCTTTATGTTGTGATGCTTTTGTAAGCTTTAGTTGCAACATTTACACTAGCAGATATATTTTTGTATTAAAGGCTTTATATGTGATTGTTCACACTTAAATGTAGCAGAAATCAAGTTTATCCTCTGAAAATAACTCTGTGAGTCATGACTGTCTACAATGGGTGTAACACCCGAGTCCCACTGTCTGTGATGTTTTCAGAGTTTTCAGAGTCCTATCTTCAGTTTGTTTACATCGCCCGGACGGCCGGCTGACTCCTCCCCTCGTGTATAAAAGTTGTTTAATTGAGGGACTAGAGAAAAGAAGAATAACATACTGTACTCACTGCTTAACTGTGTTTCTAGATCACGCTCATTTCAGGTAAATTTACATGCAGTGTGAAGATACGAGCTAACTAAAGATCACTAGCATTAGCATGCTAACACAACAATGCACCGCGAGTTGTTTTGGTTTCATGCTGGTGCTCAAGGGCGACATCTGCTGGATCAAAAAAATCACATGTAAAGCCTTTAAGCTGTGCATTTGTTTGTGCATTATAAGAAAGACGTTCTTATGTTACATACAGCTATTACATATCTTTGTACGTATCTTTATTTTGTATCATTTCAGTTTTACAATGAAAGAACCTTCTTGAGAGTGGAGACAACAGTAAAGAGCATTTCTAATGTACTCCAGCCTCTGATTTTCTTGAAGTCTGTTAGCGATCTGTCAATTTGTGTACAGACACACACACGGATAATACTAAAGACTGACTCCCTGATCCTCTTGTCTAAGTCTGCTCGGTGTGCAGATTGTTTTCTTTGAGTAATCCTCAAATCTCTTTCTTAAATAAAATACAAAGAACACTGAATGTCTTTAATAGACCATCATTTCTATTACCATAAAGTCCTACAGGGATTAGTAATTTTCCCTATTTGAGAATATCTATTCCGTCAGAATAGATAACAATCCTGTAAACGACTCCTTTAATATCTCAGCAGATTGCACTAATGACTCACAAATCAGTCTCACGCACCTCTCCAGCTGAACGGGTGCAGCTGAAAGGTAAACTCTGCTGTGAGTGCAAACAGATGTAACTGCAGGTGAGGTCATTAAAAAAACATTCACACTTTAATAACCATTTCGGAGCATGATGTAAACGTGAGGTTTGAAGAGTCTGTCCTCCTGTTCAGGGGAATCTTTTAAGTCTTTTTGAAATCTACTTAAATTGAGAAATTCTCAGGGAACACCCATGTCAGAATATTTGGGCGTATCCTCTGGATATGAAATAACTGTCACGTGAGTCATCCACCGCAAAAGAAACTTGTTTTTCCCATTGACACGCCTGCTTTCCCAGCTGGGAGCGATGAAGTCACAGCAGTAAAGATCTCTCCAGCATCACAGGCTGATATTAGTGATGTCTGCAACTGAACAGTTTTGAACTATTACCACCACTAGATAACTACGGTTCTGTAGGGTGGCTTCCAGTTTAGTTTGTAACTGTGAAATAATTCCCAAAACGATGACATATTCCCAACGGGATGTTATAATCTATTATTTCAACGCCAGTTTAGTGTTCACCAACAGGTTGGGGAGGTCTGGGGATCTCCCCAAAAAATGTTGATCACCTAACATTTATTTTCCTGCATTCAGTTTTTATGCACCAACTTGTGCCTTTTCTGCAAAACAATTATGATCCAATCTTTTTATTAACATTTCAAGTGTTCATCAGACACATGTTCACACAAGAATGCATTCATTTGAATACTTCTATAAATATGTGGACTGGAGAGTTGTAGTGTTTTTGCACTACTCCAACTGCGTTAAGTAATCTATGTATAGCTGATACGTAATGTAGCTTTTAGTTTGACATTGTTTTGGTTTGATTACAAACTAGTTAGACAACAATATGTGTAAGTAACCTCGTTAAGGTTAGTTAAATCTATGAGACTTTCTCAAGAAAAAGTTATGCTTTTAGGTCTCATGATTTTATTTTGTTAAAAACAGATTTTTATTTTAAGCAACTTCCAGTTTTGAATGTTGTTTAGGTAACTTAACTTCAAGAAATGATCGTCATGTATGTATTAAGAGACGGTAAACAACAAAAAAGTTACTGTAAACGATGAATGTTAAAGTTTTTGCATTCAAAGACCTAACACTCTCTCTCTCTCTCTCTCTCTCTCTCTCTCTCTCTCTCTCTCTCTCTCTCTCTCTCTCTCTCTCTCTCTCTCTCTCTCTCTCTTCTCTCTCTCTCTCTCTCTCTCTCTCTCTCTCTCTCTCTCTCTCTCTCTCTCTCTCTCTCTCTCTCTCTCTCTCTCTCTCTCTCTCTCTCTCTCTCTCTCTCTCTCTCTCTCTCTCTCTCTCTCTCTCTCTCTCTCTCTCTCTCTCTCGTCCACTGCAGAGTATAAAGTCAATTGCAGGTGATTTTCTTTTCCAGAGACCCCCAAAACGTTTGCTGTTGAGGCTTTCAGGGGGTTTCAAGTGTCAATCAAGGGGTCTCAAACCCCCCAAGAACCCCTGTATTTCGCACCCTGGTAGGCAGTATCAGTGTTGTCACTGCCTGGCTAGCTCACTTCAACACAGCCTGTTGAAGGTAGCACGCGATGGTGTGGTGATGTATCAGTAGGGCATGAGAACAGATTTGGAGAAGACATTTCTTCACTGAGTGCTTACCCTTTAATGAGGGCCCAAGTATCTTGTGTTTATTTCAAATTCCCAGTGTGTGACTTACCAGTAAATATCCCCTGAACTGGTTATAGATGATGGCTGTCAGTAGGTTCATGAGACAGTAGGTTCCTGTCAGAAAAGAAAACACAGTCATTCTCCCTTTTGAACAGTAAAACAATGATCTGCTGACGCTACAAAACCCAAACACATCTGTGAATCAGTGCTTACCGATGACGCTGAAGGTGACAAAGAAAATGGAGTAGAGTCTGTTGAGGGAGTAGGCAGGGATCATCACTGTGACGGGACAGAAGAAATGATTCCAACACAACCGGACAGAAACAATCACAGAAAATCAGCAAACACATGTTGTCATCATGTGTTTATTTTTACTGATTGTGTACCGTCAGGGTTGTTGGCTGTGGTGAGAAGCACCAGCAGGGACGTGAGAGACGCCGGCAGATCTCTGAAATGTAACTCCCATTCCCCGTTCTTCTTTGGATCCTGAACAGAGACAGAGACAGAGAGAGCTACTACAGTTCACATAACTCCGGGTTTAATATAGTACTGAGCACAAGAAACTAAAGGAATTGGACATTTGGTTCCATTTGGAGATTATCTCCAGTCCATGCAGCCACATTACTGTCAAAGAATTTATATCAGATATACATGTACTGTATATTCATAGTTGTTTTCATCATATCAAAAAGCTGTGTTGAAAGTATTTACTGCAGCACATGAAATTTGGAATTTGAGGTTCAGGATTTTTAAATAATCTTAAATGATATCCATTAGAGGGTTGTCTCAATACCAGATTTAAAAAAATGAGTTTCTTAGTTTATAATCTAGTTTAAAAGAAAAACAAAATCAATGAGTGTTTCGGTACCACAGCAACAAAAAGAAGACGTCCAGAGACCCTGTAATGGGTCATTTCAATGTGATTAATCATTATAACATTTTATGTGGTATTGAAAAGTATCAGAATAAGGTTGTTTCGACAATAAGACTAAAGCCACTGCCTGACAGTGAGGTCGCTGTGAGGTCGCTGTGCTACGCCCTCTGACTCGTGTTTATTGAACCTATATTTATTTACAAAATGTAAAGTCATGCTTTTGATATTTTTACTATTTACAGCTCCTCTTCTCTTTGTGCCTCCTCGCGCACTGAATTGACCTGACAGACAATATGTGTCATTGAGATCATTTCATTGTGATCAAGATGAGAACCAGACCAGACTACATCCCCAAAGTTGAAATGAGAGAGGGGGAAACAAAACAAAAAACAATAATATCTGATTCAGTGGTTTGATTAAGAACAAGATTTTTATTTTCCTTTAAAAAGAAAAACCTGGATCCAGTTTCACTTCATAATTTAAAGCATCTCTGCAAAACTAAATCCAAATGACTATTTCTAGTCAAGGCTTATAAATGAAATGAATTCATCTGATCATTTCTAAATCATGATATTAAATAACCTACTTGAAAGCAGTAAGCATCAAATTTAGCTCCCACGATTATAACAAACCCACAGCGCCCCCTGTGGTCTGAGTATGTAGTCTTGACCACAGGATGTGACCTCACTTCCTTTGTACTGCAGAGTATTCTGCTGCTTAACAAAGTATGAACTCGACACTCTGCACTAAACATTCCTCACATGTAACCCTGCGATGCTTTTATGCTGTATTTATAATGACTTTGTTTCACTTCATTGTCTGAGTATGTTCTCAGTCATCCAGGTCACGGTCAATTTGAAGCTTGATCCAAAGGGAACTGGCAAAAGATCTTCAACCAGACCAGTTGCCTCAGGGTCAAGCTTTGAGTTTCAAGCCTTTATTTCCTGTCCTGTATGTTTGTAGATGTCATTTGTCATTTATGTTTTTATGCCCCTGGTTTGAAGCACATTCCCATTGGGGCAATAAAGGTTTTATTTATCAATTTGTTTGTTCGTTCAGAATTAGGATGAGACATTTTCTTTGATCTATTTCTCCTTTAACTATTGTAATGTCCCTTGTCTTTGCGTGCTGTAAACTATTCCACTTCCTGGTTTGGTTCACATCCTGCAGAAGCTTTTTATTTGCACTTTAAGCACATTTCAGTGGCCTCATATCTTCCCTTTCTTTCTGGGACCAAAAGGAAACAGTGACTATTGGCTGTCAAATTGTCGCCACAGTCTAGGACATGTCTAGACAAAACACACACACACACACACACACTGAGCAAAGTGTCAGCAGAGCAGCAGTGTGTATTTAACAAGGTGTGACATCAAAGTCCTGAACTTACCTCAGTTTTAGCAAAGAGCAGCATGCCGATCATGGTGAAGAGGCAGAGATGGAGCGCCAGGAGCAGGATGACGCTGCAGACAGGAACACACACACACACACACACACACACACACACACACACACACACACACACACACACACACACACACACACACACACACACACACACACACACACACACACACACACACACACACACACACACACACACTTTTTGATTTGGACAAAGCCGTACATCTTATCTCTTCGCTGATCTTGTCCTGTACATGCTTATATAGTTCTTTTAACAAAAAAAATCTTATTCTGCTTTCTTTTAGCTGTCAAATGTATCTGTCACTATGAACCATTGTGGAAGATGTATCTAAAGGGTTCTTTCTAAAGCATGTTGGTCGTCACATAATCTGAAATTTACCAATAAATATATAGAAACATAAATATGTAGAAATACAATCTTTATGCTCATGGTCTTGTTTGCTCAGAAAAATCATGAACTTTGAATTAAGGATGACAGGTTTGGTAAATGTTAGGGTCAAACTGACAGAAAAGTAAGATGGTCTCTAACAGATTGTTGTGATTTGGTTATGAGGGGGATTTGTAAAAAGTCATCAGGAGAGAGTTATTCAGGGCTGTAGAGGATTCACTGAATCCCTCACATGCTTTTCTAACTCTCCTCAACTGACTTCTGAAACACCTTGATGGTCCAGGGATACATTATTGTTTTGGGGATTTTATTTCTGCTTTTCCACACAATTCAGGGCCACATGTGAGCCAACACATGACTACCTTATTTGAACCTGTGTCCTGGCTTTGTTGATGGATTTGAGACTTTCCTGTTGCAGATTTCAAAGAGTGAGGGTAAACAGCTTCATGTCTGATTCGAGGTCATCCACTGGTTCTCCCCAAGGCTGTGTCATTTCAAACACTTTTTCAAACACTTGTACTTTTGTTTTTAAATAACTCATCCAACGATGCAAATATACAGCAAGAGACAGAAACACTAAACTTCTCTTTTCACTGTCTCTTGCTGGTAGCCTAGTGGTTAGTGCGCACGCCCATGCACAGTCATTCCCCACTCTCTATCCACGTTTCTATCTCTAAATAAAGGCATTAAAAGGCCCTGTCAATGTTTGCAGACACGCGAGAAAGGATCCTCTGTACATTGTGAGTGACCCAACCACCAGTCTCTCTTAACAGGTTGTGTTTTGGGGGATGGGGGGGAGGGGGAGGGTTTAGTGAGAGTCTTTTCTGTTACATACCTGGCGATCTCTGGCAGAGTCCTCTTGATGCACTTCAGCGTCTTCTTCATCAGGGACGAGTTTTGCAGGAGGAAGAACGGCCGGAGGAGCCGTCGTACTCTCAGTTTCTTAGAAACAAAGAAAATACAAAATCACTTTTTATGAACCTAATGAGCCTAAATGATTCATTTTTCAAATTGAAAAAAGCCTTTCCTCAAAGAGAAAGTGTCACATTTGAACTCAATACATTGGGTTCGTGCAGAATCCTTACTTTTATGACTGTGTTGTTCACATCAACAGAAACTCAACTACAATGTTCACTAAACTACCTCCTCAGAGCGTTCATCAACTTATGTCCTTCATCTCAAATCAATCATTAAGGGGACATGAGAACATCCAGTAAGTTACCAGAGGGCTTTGTATCCAGAGGTGCTGCTTGTCAACACGCAGGGCAGGCAACTGCTTGGGGCGCCAAAGCACTGGCTGAAAATGTGCACATTCTGCAATGATGGTAGGAAACCTCCCTAAGGGGCCCTCATCTGACAGCACTCACTCTCTTTGCCCTGCTGAACGTTGGTTGGAGGGCCCCCCAATTGATTCTTGCCTGGGGCCCCAACGGACTCAAGAATTGCCTCTTCTCGTTCTCTGAGGTGATGAGACGTTGACATTGAGCAGTCTGTATTCTTCAGAATCTGCCTGAGTGCTGCTGAGGAGACTCACAGTGGGTCCTCAAATATCCCAAAATAGTTTGTAGTTACTTTTAAATAGGTCTAATAGGTGTTACTGTAAAACTTAGATTAGTAGCCCAGCTTTTATTTTCTTTCAGTCAATGAAGTGGCAGTGCCTTTATTTGGGAAATCAATAATGATATCACTAATTTGATCTTCCTTCGTAAGAGAGTCCATCTGTGTGAACCGGCTGCAGTGTGGAGGAGAGAGAGAACGTCCCTCCTGTCAAACACTGAGGTTTAAATGTCTTTAGTCTTGATCCAGACCGTCATGCAGGAGACTCTGAGAAGAGGTCCAAATGTAGAAGCACATGAATCTGAAGCTGATCTTTAACCTTCTTCCCCACACTGGTACCCATACGAGCATTAGTCTGTCTTTCTTGGACATAGGATGGAGTTCGTGCTCCTTTTTCTCTTTATTGTTGATCCGCACACTATTTTAACATTAAATGCATAGAGGCATCTAATTGAGACCCGAGTTTATTTGTCAAAATATGAAGCAACACCAGGCTAACAAAATAGTAGAAGGAACTAGGCCTTATATGGGGCTGGGCTTTTATTTTGAAGTTTTATGGTAGTTAAAACCACAACATACTTCAAACCTAAACAGTTAATCTCATCACATTCTCTGCTACTGTTACTGGTTGATGTGAAATACATGCTGGTATATGTGTCAAACCCACATGTAGTCACCTCCCTAATTATCCTAAATAACCATGACAGAGCATGCAGGCGAGCTGTCAGTCATTAACCTGAATGAATGGGCCAGGACTAGTGGAGCTCCTGAAGTCTGCAAGTGCAGACAAGATCTCAGACTGCCGTTTGGACGCTACACAGATTAGCACTTTCGTCTCTCTCATTTTGAGCTGTGCTGCTGATACTCACACTGCACCCTGACAATTAGAGATGGACACATTTTTTCAAGGTCTGACCTGCCCATATGATTCCAATTTTGGCACGGCTGCATTCTCCCAGACTGATGATAAAGCTATGAATTACACGTCAAATAACTACAATCAGTGACTTTTCATTGAGCTTTCAAATGCAGTCTCTAACCTGTCTGCGTCTCACTTTCTCACTGCCTCAGTGAACGGTAGGTGAGGCTACCAAGAATTTCCATCTTCTTTTATATCTGTTAATTATCAATATGCATTCATCTATAATATTTCCTGCAAAGTGAAAAAGTCTCAAGCAGGTTAAACTCCTCTAAGTGTCCCACCGTCACCAAAGAATATTAAAAATATGAATTTGATCAAATTATAACCTACTGCGCTCGTCTGGATCGTGTGGATGCTTGTGTGTGTGTGTGTGTGTGTGTGTCACTGTGCTCATGACATGACATGCTTGGCTCATGTGTTTTAATTTGAGATTGGCACAGGATCAGATGTATTTGAGAAGGGTCACCGGTCATGCAGAACAAGCTGAAAATAGTTTGAATCCGTTCACCAGCCGGTCAGTCAGAGCACCTCTACATCCAAAACAACATGCTGATAGAAGACAGAAGACGACAGACTCACCTCGTCACACACCATGCTGACAGACAGCACCCAGTCGATGACTGACACAGTTATGACTGCTGTGTAACCGATCAGCCATTTGCTCTTTCTGAATTCATCCCAGCCAATCAGGTAGCTCTGTTGATAAAACAGAAGGAATGAAGCAGAAGGTACTTTAGTTTAAAAGCATCATCCATGTTGAAGAGGTAACCCCACAGCTGCCAGCTTACGATGCCTGTGTTTACCTTGACAGCAAGATCGAGAGTAAAAACGATGAGGCAGACCAACTCGAAGCTCTCGGTGAAGCCGCAGGGAGGCTCCCAAGGTTGGGAGCGGTAGCGCGGGTCAGAGGAGATGGACAGGGAGGACGGGCGCTCCACGAATGCAAGCAACAACACCACTGCAATGGTCAGGCCCAAACCCCTGAGAGAGAGGGTGCACAAAAGGATGTAGGCATGGTGGAGATGAAGCTGAGAGAACAAAAACATTCTGAAGATGAGTCACTTAAATCAGTGTGTTGATGAGACTCATCGGTGAAGAGGAACAAAAAATGTTTGCAAGAGAACTTCAGTCTGTATCTGTTATCCACATTGTTAAAGGACAACGTCAACATACGTTTAGACAGGAAACACATTTATTTGCTTCATCCACATGAGCCAAAAAGACACTTTCTGCCTTTTCTCGTTCAAGAAGGCACCAACTTCAAAATGTATTTCACATTTCTACGACATATATGACCCAATGTCAATACAGATTCATGTTTCAACGGGTGAAGTATCCCTTTAAATACAAAATAAGAATGCTCCTTTGCCGAGTTTAGTGATTCTGTGTAATCTGTGGTTTCACTGGCTTTATATTCCTGCTCCTCTCTTCATGTCACATATCAGAATGTTTGAATGGTGAAAAATGCTTTTTGCAAAAATAAGCAAGTCTGCTGTTTCTGTCCCTGCAGGAAATTGGCTCTGAAACATTTCCTCATCTTGAAAACAAACTCTGGTCTATTTTAAAATGTCCTGACCCGGTGTGAACTTACCATTGACATATCCGAGAGTAGTACCATCGATACAACTGCAGCGAGCTGGCATCCACCCGATGGTTGATGGAGCGATACTACAAGAGAGTAAAAATACTTTATTCATCCAGGACTCTGAAAATCCAGCAATTAAAAAAAAAGAGGGAAGAAGACATTATGACAGGCTTTCCCAACATTGGGGTCGCATGGAATTCAAATGGGGTCGCCTGAAACCCCTTTCCACTCAAGTTTGCACGAAGGAGATCAATTAGAACGCACCATGATTAAGCATAATTAATTCACCTGTCTCCTGCATTGTTGCATTAGCATGCTAATGTTAGCACACTTTGGTTAGCGCTTAGCTTCATATTGCACATGACCGAGATCTAAACACACTTACGTGACATCTAAATAAACAGAGAGTATGTTGTTCTTCTTCTCTCTAGTCCTGGACTAAAACAGCTTTTCTACACAATACCTTCCCGTCCATGTAAACACAGCTCGACAACAACACAGCTGGATGGACTCATGCTTCTCACTCACTGTGGACAGTCATGACTCGGACATTTACAGAGGATATAATTGATTTCTGATATATTTTTACACATTATTTAACAAAATAACAAACATAAAGCAGGGAAGACATTTGTCCTACCTGTATGGCGTCCTCAATGAACACAACAGCTTGTTGGATGTAGAGGTCTTCATCATCTGTGGATGGTGAGACAAGTGTGAGTGGAAGGACCATCTGAAAATTTACTTTACCTACACCGTCCTGAACCACCATGTGCAGCTTCACTCAGCAGATAACAACAGAACATGCAGAGCACAGAAACCTGCCCTGAGATGTTGTTGTCAGTAGAACTGGTTGGATTGGAAGCTGGGATGAAAGTTTGTCTTTTCTTGAGGCAAAACTGGGAGCACATCATCTGGTGTCAGGAGTCATATTGTGGATGTTAACTGTCTCACTGGGATGTCTCATACAACACCAGCTGCACACACTAGAAACTGGGATTATTTGATTAAAGCAAAAACAAAAAATAGAACAGTTACCAACACATACTTTGTGCTCAATGTTGGCCTCTAGGGTTCATTCTTTTTAGAATTGTTTCAAAGCAGTTTTCCAAAATTCTCCTTTAAAACAGGTTGAGAATCTGGTGTAGAGACTCTGCATTAGTTTAGGCAGCACACTGAGGCCCCTGGTGGTTGTATCCAAAAAGGCATGTAGGGATTTAAATATGGTTTTGGGCACGTCCAACTGGGAGGAGAACCCGGGGTGGACCATGAGCTTATACTGTATGTCTTATCACAGAGAGGTGTTCCCAGGCCAGATGTCACCTGATCAAACCTGATCTGACCACATCCAGAAAAAGACAGGAAGAAACTTTGCAGGAGAGAGTTAGTCAAGACCACAATTACCAAGACCATGACATACCCGAGACCAGAGTGCTCCGAGGCCGAGCCAAAACCAAGACATTTAGGGAAGGAGGCCAAGTTGAGAGCATAAATATAACTGAAAAATCATCGTCTTCAAAAACAATTAAAGTTGGTTTTTACTGTTTTTGAGAATTTAATTTCATGTTACTCGAGCTGTGGATCTAAAGCTATTCCCAATTCTTGAGCTCTTTAACCTCCTTTATATCTTAATTCTTTATTTTTATAATAAAACTTCCAAGTGAGCTCTGTTTTCTTACAGAGAAAAAAAACACTGAAACTGTTTTATTTAGATTCAAGATGATCCATCTCGACCCGGACATGAACTGTTTGAGACCCTTCCCTCCGGCAAGAGCTGCGGTTCATCAGGTCCAAAACCTCTCACCACAAGAACAGTTTCTACCCCTCTGCAGCCAGCCTCATGATGTCCCTGCCCTCCTCCCACATCACACAGACTCTCATCCACCCCACAGTCAGAAAACATCACACAGATTTTATGCGTTACATTAATTTACTTAAGTTTACTTTAAACACGGCACCTTTTGTAGATTTTGTGTTTTTATATTTATTATATATATCTTTGTAATTACTTCTTATATTTTATTTTATTGAAGTTCTTGATATTTTGCTTTATTTTCTTTGTTAACTGTGTTTGCACCAATACACCAAGACAAGTTCCTTGTATGTGTGAATGTACTTGCAATAAAAAGCGATTCTGATTCTGAAAACAAGATGGTTGCGTTCCAGCCACTGATGGACTTCATACAGGCGCTCAGATGTGACCTCAGCTGCCTTGCTCGGTGACTAAGCAGGAGCGTAAACGGCCGCATCATCTGCATAAATATAGAAGAGAGTGCCTTCTAAACCTGCTCGTTTGTAAAGTCATGTCATTGAATTTGTTTTTATTTGCTATTGTATAAATAAACTAAGAAGAAATTTAAGTTTTCTACTAGAACAGCTTGACAACATGTCAAGCTTGAGTTCACCATTTATACCATGAATGAACAATTCAGGAAGATGCTTCACTGGACCGGACCTGGACCATTTCATCTGGTTCTACATTAAATGTTGAAACAGAAATGTGAAGAACTAGAAGTGTCTGTCAGAGAGCAGCTTGTTTGTTCCACAGCTGCTGAGTGATTCTGTTCAGTGACTGTGGCCTTTCCACCCAGCAGTTACACAGACAGATATGATGAGTCAGATCAGGCCGGCCACACGGCCACACACACACACACACACACACACACACACACACACACACACACACACACACACATTGCTGCTGACTTCACGCATCAGAGCAGGATGTGTCATAGCAGCGGTGATTGTGGGTGCCACTGACAGGGCAGGGGTTCTAACGGCTGCATAGACCCCCACACACACACACACGCACGCGCACGCACGCACGCACGCACGCACGCACGCACACACGCACGCGTTGCAGCAGAAGAGTACAATAAATCATTTTAATAAAGAAGTATCTTCAGTTTCTTAAAGTCAGAAACGTTGATACAAGATTAATTTTGCAGTTTAAGAAACTTTTTGAAATTTGTGATGCTGAAACTGGGGCGAGCGAGAGAGAGAGAGAGCGTGGGGCACGACATGCGGGAAAGAAGCCACAGTTGAGATTCAAACCAGGGCCTATAAGCCTCTGGACATGGAGCACCTTGACTGTTATAGATTTAAAAAAACACAGAGTCGATTTAAAAGATGAAGAAGAGGTGAAGGTAGGCCTGCGTGATAAAACCATAACAATGATTTTCCTGATATAACTTTTCTCCACGTTTTCCAGCCCCGTGCACTGTGCTCATGACTGTGAAATGTTCTTCTGTTCAGGTATAGTTTGTCATGTTCTGACAATAAAAGAAAAAATGAAACCACAATGATAATATTTATAGTGATAATATTTTTAGTCGTATCGCCCGGGTCTGAAGGTAAAGGTATTATTTACTGTGGAGAATCCGCAGAGGGAAATCAAACACCAACTCCCTCTGCTCTCATAATGAATAATGTTATTATACTATTAGTTTCAGGGTCCTTACACAGTCTTGGTGCGTCTGCACATAAAAAGCAGCTAGTTTCCTCTTCAGCAAAGAACTAAATCTCTCATCCACAGCATCTCACATGATAAATTACTGCTTTAATTCAATTTGCTTTAAATAGCAAGATGAAGGCAATTCTCACTTCACTTGCAAAAAAAAGGTTTCCAGATCCTGCATCATGATAAAGGGAAGGACATTTAACAATACTAGGTGTTTGAACAGTCATAATACTCATATTGCTTTTCTCATTTTCCTGACACCTGTTCTGCACAAAAATCAGTCTGTTATGTCTCTGTGATGGCAAACACAGATTAAAGATTAAAACAATCAGATGAACTCTGATCTTAAAAGCCTGTATCAAGCATGCAGCTCATACAGTTAAACCTTCCTGTCAATGTTCTGAATCTTCATAATATCCTTTGAAGCTGTATTTTCTACAGCATTGGTTCCCAATCTGGGGTCTGATTAGATTAACATGGTTATTCTGAAAAGCATAAATCTCCTCAAGTTTCTGTCTAAACTTTTCAAGAAGGCTGTGCTTCAGAAGGAAAAACTCACAGACAAAACAGAATGAGATTTTACACATCATAGTGATCTTGTAAACTATGATGCATTTGCTAAAATTGAACAACCCGAAGGTATGCAACACCTACAACTAAATGCTATACATGCAGATTAATGCACCTGTTATAAACAAAGTCTAACAGTCAGGATTCCAGCAGAGCAATGAGGAACTCTGACCCAGGGCCCCTTAATGCACCAAGTCCACGATGCCATGTTGTATGGGCCCAGTATCAAAACCTAATGATCACCTTATTATCATATAGGCCTAAGATATGCAGACTTGATGCATAATGCAGTTAAAAGTGAGGAATAGTCTGTTTGTGTTGATGTGGTGACCTCTCTCATCTTTGCTGATTTTCTTCATTTGATGAACAAAAAAAACTCACCCTGCTTTCTTCAGTCAAATGTATAATTCACAGAAAATCTCTAGGTTGCAATTGGTTAAAGAAAGGTTTCACAGGTTTCAGGCATTAAAAATATTTATGATGATGGGTTGCTTGTGCTTCTGTAGCTTAAAAAGAAGCAATATTATGTTTAGTCTGTTTTATTACAAGATCAAAACTCCTCACATGAGCTCTATAAATGAGTAGGCCTGTTTGTCAAGCTGAAGAGAGAGGGACACATACACAGTGTTAGGTGGAGGTGGTGATGGTGGAGGGGTCATTAGGGGACAAATCTCAATTTGGCTACAGGACTCGTGAGGTAGGCTCGTTGTCAGGATAACACTGTTTTGACAGAGTGATTTATAATAAATGGATTTTATAAACCGGTTCGACTCAGACTTCTTTCTCTTTGTGCGAGGACAGACCTCATGTCACCTCTCTGCGGACTCCTCCAACCTGACAGCTTCATGAACCCCCCCCTCCTCCAACACTCACCTGTGGCCCCCTCCACCCTGCACGACTGTCCGGAGACTGAGTACGACATCCGCCTGCTGCCCGGGCCCCCTCCGCACTCCGAACCCGACTTGGAGCCATAGTCCCCGGAGGCTGTGTTCACAGTCCCGGTCAGCAGCCCCTCCGTTTCCATCCAGGAAATCTACAACTTGTTGTGAGGTGAGTCCGCTCCTCAGCTGTCAACAAAGTGAAAGTAACAGATCTGACCGGGGACGCTGTGAGAAAGATCACTAAGAGGCTTTCACGTCCTTTTTAAATCCCAACTACAGTCACTGCACTGGACTAACTCATAAAGTTTCAAACAACACAACGAGCCCCAAGCAGGAGGGCAGGGGAATGTCGTTTTAGGAAGTGACTTCTCTGCTCCTCCCTCCCTCCTGTCCCACAGTATCACTTTACACTTTACACTTTTAAAACTCCTCCTTCAGCTCGCTTCACAGGCTGCAGCAGGGGAAGCTCTGAAGGTGTCGAGGCTACAAGAAACACACTTAAGTCGTTCCCTTTGTAGCAGCAGAGAGCAGTCACGACAGAACTCCAACAAAGAATAAAGTTGAATCTATATCTGACATGTTATGTATGATTCCCTCAAGTGGATAGAGCCTTAGAGTCTGTTTAATGTGAAAGCTGCTGCACCCTCTGGTATGTAGCTACAGTCTCTGGTATGTAGGCACATTACCATGAGAAAATAATAATAACACACATCAATCATAAACTATCACAAATATTACAGACAAAAAAACAAAACAGATTTGGACCTGAATGAACATTTAAGTTGTCATTTCTGGTCCAGCCACTGTCTGTTTTATGATAAAAACAAAGAGAATATTTTCAAGTTAAAATGAAATCTTTACAGAGTAAGTTATAACTTTGTCTAACTCATAATTACCACATGGTAAATGTAAAACTGAGTTGGTCATCATTTTAACTCTTTTCACAAATTAGACTTAGCCATGGGCGGTTCTAGGCAGGGGCCAACAGGGGACAGTGCCCCCCCCCCCGTGGCCACCCCTCCAAAAGGAAGAGCCCACCTCATAACACATAACACAATATCTGACTCAACAACTGGACTCAAAATCGAGTATTAAATACTTTTACTGAAACAAATATAAAACATGGTATTTAAGTTGTTTTGGCGATTGCTGTTGATAAATTTACAAAATGTGTTGGTCATGAAAAGAAAGTATAACACAAACAGGACTTACCTAAAATGTTCTTTTATTAGTTAAGTCCGTTGCTAAATTGTCGAAACTACTTCATCTTCTTCATCCACTTGTATCTTAGCTCTGTGCTAAGAAATTATAAAGTTGTAACAACCTCTTCACTTTGATCAGGTCTGTGTTTTTCTGCTCAGTGAGAGTGGTGAGAGAATCAACTCATTGCAATCAGGTGTGTGTGGCACTGATTGGCTTTGATTAAGCCCAGGTGTGTGGAGTCTCCAGTGCTCTGTGCTGACTCATTATCTCACCTTCAGAGGTCGTGAGAGGTTCTCTCTGTGGTTTCTCGAGTGGTTGTGTGTATCTATAAACACCAACTAAGAACTTTCTACATTAGATTTCCGTTGCCGGTCTCCCAGTGTTTAACTTGGGGTGCTGGATAGTTTCGTGTCTACTCCAGTCTTTTGTTTTATTGAAGGTCTCCCTGGCAGTCTTTGCTTTTTGTTTCGTATTTTCTGGGTCTCCTGGACAATTTTGGTTTTGGGTCAGCTTTAGTTAATCCTTTTCGGTGCCTTATTTAGGTTAGGAAGCCTGTTGTGGCACTAAACAGTTTTGTTGTTTCTTCCCCCTTTTCCAATCTATCGCTATTGTGATTTTGTGGTTATCCTTCTGGGATAACTTTGAGACACCCCTGGGTCCGCACTTGCGTCCCAATCCCCCCCCCCGACAGTTTAATGTTAAAAGTCAGTATTTGATGGAATAATCATGACTTCGACCCCAAAAGCATTATTTTCCACTCTGAAGTGTTCTTCACTTTGCAGCTGTCACATTAGAGATTCTTACATAAGAGGAAGACACCAAAAAAAAACTGACCACTGATTTAATTTGTCTGTTTATTTCCAGCAAACCTTCTACCTCACAACTCTTCACATGCGATGTCTCACCAGCAGAATAGATTACACAGGCGTGTTTCTGGAGCTTCATGTTGTAACCTCAGTGACCCAGACACAACTCAAAGTCTGGATCTAATCTGTAATAATTGTAGTTATATAGTACTCTTAACCATCTACAAGTCATGTGAAGGTTTCCACACGTTTCTGCTGAGAGATGATCATTGATTTGGTCTGTAAAACACAAGGGCACACTGGCAGACTTCTATTGGTGTGACAACAGCTAAATGACAACGCTCGAGTAGTATGATGACGATGATATGCAAAACTCAAGGTTTCCACAAACCAGTGGTTTCTTTAACAGTGGCTTCATCATCTTTACATAAACACATATACTTACAAAATAGATTTTTGAATGTTTAACTGATGTGAGAAGTTCTATACTTTTTAAAAACCTAGCTATGGCTTCGGTCTCTTTCGTGGTAATTGAGGATCAGCCTCAGATAAGAGGTTAATTATTAGATTATATTTATTTTATAAGAGAAATGACAGACACAGTATCTTACATTGTGGTTGAACATGACATGTAATGAACAGTAAGAAGCTCCTTTAATGCATTTTAAATGGGGAAACTCTTAAAGCTCCTGTGAGCAGTTTTTAAGGTGGTTCTGAAACACACTGACATTCATGTTGATGCCTCTTTATAACCTACTAACACAAATGAGACTAATCAACCAGATTGACTACTGTATATCTTCATCATTATATTTAATGCCTTAAACTGCTGCCGGGGGGGTAGACAGATTCATCAAAGGATAAATATGTAAGATGTTAACTGAATTAAATAAAACAATGACCTCACTATATCATCAGACAAAGCCTCTGCATGTTTCTAATAAGCTCCACGAGCAGAAACGTGCTCAAACTAGGATCAATATTGGAGATGCTTTTGAAAAATGGAGAGAGGTTAGAACACAGAAAGGTTTACAGACCCATGCAGAGCTGGATAAACACTGAAGCTACAGTGTCCACCACATGGTGACCTGAGTGAGTATCGACTCTAGAGAGGAGGGGGGGGAGACAGCTCTCTATGATGTTTAGAATTTTGGCTGTAGTACCCATTTTAAACACTAGGGGTCAGAGTTACATATCGCTCCTTTAACGAGTCGGGTATGGCTGCATCCTGGCGCTCTCTCGTCTGTGTGCTCTGGCGCCATGCTCCTCCAGAAATTTACAACGGCAAGTGTGCTGGGTCAAGAAGAAGTTTACGAACTTGCGCATTAATTAATATTTACAGTCTATGATTAATTCAAACATTACCACCGCGCCAATAGAAGACGGTGAAGAAGATGGAGGGTTTACAAGAAGCCCAAATGAATGTATGAATGAAAAGACGTTCAAATGAGTCACGCAGAGGGGAGAGTTATCAACAGCTGAACCGACGCTGCTGACTGAGCTGTGTGTTTATATATGACTAAAAAAAACACATATACATATAGAAAGGCGGAATTGCTTATTTTTTATTTAGTCTTGAATGTATAAACACTTAGTATGTTTGTAATATATCACATGTACACTACAGATATTTTTATTTCCGGAGCTTTATGTTGAAAATTAGAAGCTCAGGGGGCTCGGCTTCAGGCATCCAGACGAGAGCGCACAGACGAGAGCGCACAGACGAGAGGAGCCAGGCTGCAGACATACAGTCTCGCTTTTAAAAGCATGCTGCAGGAACCGCTTCGAACTACATTAAAGTGTTTAAACAAAGCAGGGGGAGATTTTTTTCGTAAGATACTCTACTAACACATGAACAGGATAGAGATTTGGGGGGCCCAAAGGTGACCAAAAAAAACCTGAAAGTTACACAAAGAAGCTGTAAAATGACTTTTCTTAGGTTAATGACAGCAACTGTTATAACAAAAGTAAGAAAGTCAGAGGTAGATTCAAACGTCATTACAGCACCAGAAAAATGCTTCTGACCCCTGCTGGGCCCGGTGCATTCATGATTGTTACAGTGTTTAGCGTTTCTGAGATATGTACAGCATCAACACATATTATCGGATCCATCGTGATTGTTGTTCATTAGAGGATGAAGACCTCAGGGCTCTTAGGGTTTATTTGCTGCCATCTGGGACACCTGTGGGAAAGAGAAAAGAATCTTCTTTAAGACAGTTTTTGACATTTAGACAAAAAATCCCCTTGTGTTTCTATTCTTGTTACACATTACCACTTTTTTTCTCTTACCTGGTCATCGATGCTCCTGAACTGCCAGGTCCAGCGTGTGTTATAGAGGAAAGGTCGCAGGTCAAAGCGGTTGTCATCAGGACTGTAGCTCTCGGCGTGGTAGGACGGTGTCACCGTGGTCATCTTGTGGCGGTTCACCGAGTACATCCTGAAGAAGTGCTTCACTTTCTGGGCCACCTGGGGAAAGAAGAACGGACAACGTTACTTTCTGGTTCAAGTCTGTTGAACAGTGAAATGCACAGAATTCATAACTGTGCAAAATAAAAATTCTGAATGTTTTTGACACTACAGACCAACAATATATCGTGTATTACATATTGTGCATCCACAGATGATATAACCAGATTAGATCAACTCATGTAGACGACCAGGATCAAGCTCCTGAGCTCTCATGTCTCGCAAGTTCCTGGGGGGTCGTTGGCAGACGGCCTGTCTGGAACCACCCCTACCCCCGTTTGTCTCTATCCTTCATCCTGCATCTTACATCCTATCTCCCCAAAATCCCAATTTTCAAGCCCGCCGCAGTGTCTTCAGATGGTTGTTTATCACGAGTCTGATGTTGCACAAGATTTCTCTTAAAAATGAAGTTTTATGTTGCCACTGTAACTTTGACAAATGCACAAAGTGCTCATGATGGATTTACGTTGGGTCTTTGTAATATAACAACGGCTAAGGTCTTTCACCTGTTCATTTCTAAAGTGTCTCGAGATAAAAAAAAATTATTGATTGATGCAAGTACCCCAAATAAATGTCAAATATTTTTAATATTGATCTGTAAAAGAATCCCCCCTGCTCTTAAAGAGCTTATGCATCCACATTTGGCCCTCATCACTGTGACCTGTAGGAGAAGGTCGGTTGGCCTTCTCTTGAAGGGAGGCGCAACAAACATTGGTTTTTATATATTTTCATGGCTGTTATTGGAAAACTTCCACCTTACATCACAGACCTGTTGGAGTGGATTTGAGCGCAGACATGACCCGTTCTTCTGAGTGGCTCGTTCTTAAAGTCTCTCGAGCTTTTAATGAACTCTGTAAATCAGCATTTTCTTTTGATGACCCAAACACAACAAACTCTAAGGATCAGAGTTCTTCCCTCTCTTCCAGAGTTTAGGAATTTGATTTCTTTGTTCCAAATTGTAACTGCTTTTAATGGAAATGGTGTCTGTTGGGTTTTACTGTGCTTGTAATCTCGACCTCATTTGAAATGAGGGAAACATCGGTGTCCTTTCGAGAATAAATGAAGGTTTGAAATGAAATACAAATATTGTTCCCTAAAGTTTCAGGTCTTCATCTTTCTGTTGCTGAGGTTTATCTGAAAATAGGCAGCACGATACATCTCCAGAAAAACACGACACTGAAACTGACCTCCATGGGCGAGAGCGCATCCTTCCACATGTGAATGAGTTTACAGAACATACTGAAGGGGCCGCACTTGGAAATCTTCCTCAGTCGTCCAATCACAGATAACTCAGAATAAGTCATCCCCATGTCGGCCTGAGGAGGGAGGTGTGACGGTGGTTAGAGAACGTTTGAAGATTATTGAAGGAGAAATGAAGATGATATTAAAATGTATCAGCCACAAGTCTTAAGAAAACCTGTGTTCTCAGATCACAAAACCTTCGAGCTTCTGGAAGACGACTGTTGTGACATTGGCAGGTAAATAACATCTGTTGCTAGGAGCTCTAATAAGAATAAGCCAATAGGAATGCACAATAATAATCACCATCTGAAAGGCTGCTCAGGCTCGAAGATTAAAGGAGGAAGAGTAGTAAATCAGATAAATAGGTTGTAATTTATCACCTTGTCATTAAAAATCAAACCTCTTGCAACCTCACTGCAAAGCTAGTTATTGTTAATTCTAGAGCCCGACCGATTAATCGTGCAGCCGATAATCCTGGCCGATATAAGCATATCAAGTGACTATCAGTATCGGCTAATTTTATCGAAGCTATAAGTAGATTTATTCAAGTCAAATATCGTTTTATTTGAGTATCATTGCATTACAGTAGCATTTCTCTTTCTGTGCTATAGTGTGCTATACATTTAAAATACAAAATAAAAAATAAAAATTACAACAAGCATTAACACTCTGACCATCTTGTCCATATTATATATCTTTTCCAAAAGTGTTTGATAACTGCATTTGAGAGAGCAATGTATTTATCTCTATCCATATCTATCAATGTTTACAGATTGAATATAGATATAAGAAATATATCTGCAAATACATCGGGATCAGAATTTATTTCGGCTTAGGCCCAAAAAATCAATATCCCAAAAATCCCATATTGGTCAGGCCCTAGTTAATGCCAGAAGTGAGGTGACAACAGTGTCTCAGACAGGTTTTAAAACATGGATGCTGCTACAGGAAGTGGTCTTCATAATGTGTATTATTGAAACATACACTTTTATATGAAGCAAAGAATATGGAGCGAGAATCTTGTGGTGTGAAATGTGTTCACTAAATTCCCTTCATGTGACGTGACTGTTTGATTCTTTTCAGTTCCTACCTCATCTGTTTGGGACACTTGTCCGTCTGTCAGCGGCTCCAGTTCAGCTGTAGGTGGAGCAGCCAGGATGCTGCAGGGAAACACATCAGTTTGTTTTTTTCCCTTAACGCTAGCATGCCTTTTAGCCGAGGCGACCCAACACTCTGTAAGTTGACCTTACCCCCTCAGAGCGCTGAGCTGGAACTGCTCCACACAGTAAAGCAGGAAGCTCTTCAGGTCTGTCTTACTGATGCCTCCTATCGGGTTGATGTCAGCACTGGAGCAGTCGTACTTTGTGAAATATCCCGTCAGACTGAGCAGAGAAAGTTGTTTAATGCAGTTTGGAAACACACAAACATTAGTCGAGTAAAGAAAAACAAGATTTAACTTTCCAAATTTGGCTCCGTAAAATTAAATAAAAAAATAAAAATGTAAATGTACAGCAGTCCATTTAGTCTGCTTTGCTTGTTTAACTTAATGATTGTTGTTGTTTTTCTGTGGACACTAACAGTACCAGCAGTCAGATTGTGAAGTAGACTGTCCATAGTTGCCAAAGCGCCTGACTGACAGTCAAAGGATTTCTGTTTTTCAACTCCAAAAACACAACGCAGCAAGATTTTCAAATAACTGACACCATCAGTCTAAGAGTCTGAACTCAAACTGGGCTTTCAGACTTATTGAGGCTGCAACGCTTTATTAGTGAAAGCTGCTAGATTTTATTTTAAAAGAATGAAATATGAAATATAGAGAACAAACAGTAAGTGAGGTAATCGTTTCACCTCTCGTCTACGTTGGCTGAGCCCAGCACCAGCAGTCCACCGGGCTTCCCCCGGGCCCACAGACTCAGCTGGGCAAACAGGTAGGCCAGGACCATCCTGACCCGGGCCTGGAACACACACACACACACACACACACACACACACACACACACACACACACACACACACACACACACACACACACACACACACACACACACACACACACACACACACACACACACACACACACACACACACACACACACACACACACACACACACACACACACACACACACAAAGTTAATAAACAGTTTCTGCAGCACTTTTCTTTTTCATTGTATCTGCTGAAGCATCAGTGTGAAAACTCTGGTTTAACCGTCACTATACATTTGTGGACTAACTGAAGTTCAATAACAGAAAAAAACAAACAGGAAATATAAAGAAAGACAGAAAGAGAATAAATAGAGAAGTGTGAAAGAAGCTGTCATGAGAACAAACTGAATCTGGTGATGTTTATAGAGAAAGTGTGTGTCTGACCTGTACATTCTGCAGAGCGAGGTTTTCTCTGTGGCTTCCTCCGTTGGCGCGAAACTGAGGCAACCTCGCAGTCACCACCGAGAAGATACCCAGAATTCCTTTCACTGCCATGTCTATGTTAATATTCATGTGTGTGCTGCAAATAAACGAATAAATGACAAGAGATGCAAACATCTTTCTAGGAGTTACTCAAAGGAAAACAATAATTTACTCAGACAACAAACAGAGCAGAAGAAAGCAAACAGATGTTCAGCATTCATTGTATTTCATGTTTGATATTTGTATCAAGTAAAGTAGACAGTGGGAATATTGTGTGTAGGTTAATTATGTAACTAGGCCTCCTGCTGGCTCGACTGTAGCCGTAAGTTCAGTAAACATTTTGGTGTCAAAATGATGTAACTGTACAGTAAATAGTGCTCTAAGCCTCGTGTCACAGCATGTATGACCACGAGAGATGCAACAATACAGTCATCCCGCGGTTGAAACGTACCTATCATGGTTTTTGGTTCAGTTCAGTTTTTTTTTTTTTTTTAGTAGTTTAAGGCTTTAAGGGATTAAGGAAGGTAAAACCATATAACCGCAATTTAACAAGCGCTAATTGAACCGTGGAGTCAGGATTGAACGGCTTGTTGCATTCTAAATGACCTCCCTTAAATAGGACTCCTACCTGCCAATCTGATTGGCCAGGTCTTTGGCCCTGCTGCAGGTCTCCCGGGAAGAGTTCTCACTCGCCATGTAGCAGGTGGTGAAGATGTGACCACACAGCTCCCTCGGGTGCTGAGGAGAGTAGGAGTCATCGCCTACCACTCTGCGGACATCCTCCAGTGCCTGGATGTCTGAGAGAGAGAGAGAGAGAGAGAGAGAGAGAGAGAGAGAGAGAGAGAGAGAGAGAGACGAAACATTTATTGTTAACAGATTTCTGTTTTATTAAGATTAATAAAGTTTTTTTTGATTCTGATCAGGCAAGAGGAGCTTTGTTTATTCTCCAGTTTGTCAAGGCTTACTCAAGTCTGCTGATGGGCACCTCAAATCCACACTGCCAACATGTTAGCTTGTGTGTGTGTGTGTGTGTGTGTGTGTGTGTGTGTGTGTGTGTGTGTGTGTGTGTGTGTGTGTGTGTGTGTGTGTGTGTGTGTGTGTGTGTGTGTGTGTGTGTGTGTGTGTTGTGTAGTGCTAGTGTTGCTTTGGGCATGGCATAATAAGGGTTGTGAGTGTGAGTATGGGCCGGCAAGTCACCGGTCACGGCCAAACAAGCTGAAGTGCTCCCTCACTGTATGTTTATATATTATTGGAATTTGAACAAAACAATAAAAATGCTAAAAAAATTCAATAGTTTGTTGGGACAAAAATGTTCATAAAAACAGAATGGGATGACCCTGTCGCTGTACGGACTGGAAACAGCCCACAAGAGCTGCAGGTTCTGGAGATCTGACACAGCGGTCTAAGCCTCCAAAATCTTACCTTTTGTTAAAGTCACTCACATTCTGACCCTCGCACATTTCTCATCATTCCGACACATTAACGTTGAGTATAAAATGTTCACTTCCTGCCTAACTCATCCAAACCACTGACAGGCGCTATCGTGAAGACATATCACCTGTCAGTGCTCATAATGTTCTGGCTGATCCGTGTTCATGCATCTGAGTTACAGCAGAGTGACTCATACTCACTGCCGTCCTCTACCGCCTGGCAGAGCAGCACACACATCGAGTGGACGATGCAGGCAGTGGACGAGCTGTCCACTCCTCCGCTCAGAGGCAGCAGAAAGCCAGCCTGGGACACAAACCAGAGTTTTTTTTAAAAAAAAAGTCAAAAATCGATTCATTCTTCATATTAGCTTTTAATAATAGTTAAAAAAAACCACAAACAAATACAAACCGTATCAGAGCACTAAATTCAGAGGAAAGTCAGAAACAGATTTATTGCCATGTAAGTTTTTCCTCATTAGTTTTCAGTTTTATAATGAAAATAGTAAAAAAAAAGACTTTGGTTATGCTGACTAAAGAGTCTGACATAATTGTTCCTCCTCACCTGTCCACTCCTCCTCAGGTAGTCCCACAGCCAGCAGGCCGGCCCTAAACTGAGCAGCACATGTGAGAAGTGCTTTATAATATTGACAATAATTCATTCATGCTTATGTACCAAATGAAATGTATGTATACCTGATCTCTTCCTCTGCTGTATGAAACTGCCATGTGATAGGCTGGTGAGTGGGGAGGTAGATATCATCAACAGTGGAGAGAGAGAAGTCCACTTTCACCCTGTGGCAGAGTTTGTGTTCACTTTCCTGCAGAGAGAGAGAGAGAGAGAGAGAGAGAGAGAGAGAGAGAGAGAGAGAGAGAGAGAGAGAGAGAGAGAGAGAGAGAGAGATAAAACACACCTCACACAAAACCCCTCAGAAAGGAATCTGGACTTTAGTTAGCTCAATGTTTTTTTTGTTAATAGCTTGTCAGGACTTACAGTATTCACAGTCAACTGCAGTCAAAGCTAAAACTCACCTTAAGTTAAGTTTATATAAAATATTCCCTTTTTTTTTTGGTCAATGCCGTGATAAATTTAAAAGTAGAGACGCACCGATCCATTTTTCTTCAGTTCCGATCCGATACATATGTAAGGTTACAAAAAGCTGTAGTAAACCTGACACTGCATTGTGCTGACTTCACATACAAACAGGAAGCAGCAACAACCGTCAGGTTTCCAAATGAAATGCTTCACCTGAATTTCATGTCTGGTTCTCCATTCTGATACATTTTTAAACACCGCTTAGAGCCTCTTCTGCATCAAATTCATGAAGCAAAACTAAGGAAGTTGATGCTGCCTCACCATGTTGGGCTGGCAAATTTCTCCTCTGTAGCTACGCACATCCTCAAGGTCAAGAGTGGCTGTGATCACCTCCTACAAGAAAGTCACACACACACACACACACACACGCACACACACACAATTACACATCTATCAGGTATGCACGCTTTGTCCATATTTTCAATTTACAAATTCCCAACTTTTCATGACTCAGCAATGGAGCCTTCTCTGTAAGTATTTCAGACCATATTTGACATCAGAGTACAAAAATCTGAATGTCTATTATGGCAACAAATAAAATTAAAATCCTTCTGTAAACATGTTCAGTATGTTACAATATGACGTATGTCTATAAAGCTTTGGAAACTTTTGTGTTCTCACCGCAGCCGTTCAGTCCAGACGTCTCTGTTCCTCTGTCAAACAGCGCCGTTTAAACAGGAAGTAGACTAACTGATGCACCCTACACTCTTATTATTTTCCCTGAACATAGTCAATTATTGTTCCATTTAGTGTTCAGTTTAGTTTTGAGCCAAAAAAACGTTTTATTCTATGTGAAGCCTTTTTTCAATCCGTTGATGAAGACAACATGAATTCAGTCGCAAAGAAAAGACAGAATGATTATAAATTCAAAAAGGCTTCACATTAGCATATATGAGATGCTATGTATATGTGTAATTACAAAAACAACATAATAAGTGCATTAGTCTGGAAACATTCTCCCATACTCTCTTCTCTGATCCAAACCTGTAAAATATTTTGTTTTTTACATTCCTCGTTTGTTTTTGTTGTTTTAACAAAAGGGATCCTATTTGCATTTGCCCTTTAATGTTTCCATACTGACCACATCGTTTAGGGAGAACTGTGCTCCCTGTGCCACGATGTCTCCGTTGATGGCCACCAAGGCACAGCCGTCGTAGTAAACACGGTCTCCATCACAGCCCCTCTGATTGGCATACAGGTAGATACCTCCACTCTGGAACAAAACAATCCAAACACTTTCATTCAGACTACTGCAGAAAAAACAACACAAACATAGACTGCTATGGAGGCATCATGTGCCCTACTTGTAGTACAACACTGCCCTCTGGTGGTCTCTGCTCTGCAGTGTCTGTATAAACACATATACATACATGTCTTGATTAGGTTCTTGTTGGAATAAATGATTTCAATCGTAATGGGCTTTTTTTTATTTTTATTTTTTATAAATACCTGTGTATTCTACTCCAGGCATGTTTTAGTGATCTACAGGGTCAGACTTTGTTTCACCTGCGTAACACTGCAGACATCTTGTTTTAAAACGATGCAGAAAAAAAACTAGTCCATGCATGTTGGATTACTGCAATTTTCTTTTATTAGGCTGCGCTAGAAAGTCTCTAAAGACCCTTCAGCTAGTGCAAAGTGCTGCAGGACATATAAGAATAAAAAGAAAAGAGCACTACTCAGTTGGTAGAGCCAGTCGTCTCTCAACCGGGAGGTTGGAAGGGGTTCGATTCCCAGATTCTGCAACATGTCTGATGTATCCTTGGGCAAGACACTTGAGCTTGTATAGTTATTTTCTAGTCCTCTGACTACTCAAAGCACTTTGACACCGCAGGTCACACCTACACATTCACACACTGATGGTAGAGGTTTCTATGTACACACATTCATACGCCACCGACAAAGCAGCAGGAGCAACTTGGGGTTAAGTGTCTTGCCCAAGGACACATCGGACATGTCGCTGCAGGAGCTGGGGATCGAACCCCCGACCTTCCAGTTGAGAGATGACCGACTCCACCAACTGATCCACAGCCGCCCTATGGTGGATGGATGGATGGATGGATGGATGGATTGATGGATTGATGAATGGATTGATGAATGGATGGATGGATGGATGGATGGATGAATTGATTGATGGATGGATGGATGGATGGATGGATTGATGGATGGATGGAGGGATGGATTGATTGATTGAGGGATGGATTGATGGATGGATGGATGATGGATGGATGGATGGATGGATGGGTTGATGAATGGATGGATGGATTGATGGATGGATGGATGGATGGTTGATGATGGATGGATGGATTGATTGATGGATGGATGGATGATGGATGGATGGATGGATGGATGGATTGATGGATGGATGGATGGATGGGTTGATGAATGGATGGATGGATTGATGGATGGATGGATGGATGATGGATGGATGGATGGATGGATGGATTGATGGATGGATGGATGGATGGATGATTGATTGAGGGATGGATTGATGGATGGATGGATTGATTGATTGAGGGATGGATTGATGAATGGATGGATGGATGGATGGATGGATGGATGTACAGATGAATGGATGGATGGAATGATGAATGGATGGATGGATGGATGGATGGATTGATGAATGGATGGATGGATGGATGGATGGATGGATGGATGGATGGATGAATGGATGGATGAATGGATGAATGGATGGATGGATGGATGAATGGATGAATGGATGGATGAATGGATGGATGGATGGATGGATGGATTGATGAATGGATGGATGAATGGATGGATGGATTGATGGATGGATTGATGGATGGATGAATGGATGGATGGATTGATGAATGGATGGATGGATTGATGGATGGATGAATGAATGGATGGATGGATTGATGAATGGATGGATGGATGAATGGATGGATGGATGAATGATGAATGGATGGATGGATGAATGGATTGATGGATTGATGAATGGATGGATGGATTGATGGATGGATGGATTGATGAATGGATGAATGGATGGATGGATGGATGGATGGATGGATGGATGGATGAATGGATGATGAATGGATGGATGGATGAATGGATGAATGGATGGATGAATGGATGGATGGATGGATGAATGGATGAATGGATGGATGGATTGATTGATTGATTGATGATGGATGGATTGATGGATGGATGGATGGATGGATGGATTGATGAATGGATGAATGGATGGATGGATGGATGGATGGATAGATGGATGGATTGATTGATTGATTGATTGATTGATGAATGGATAGATGAATGGATGACAAAGCAGAATCACATTTAAAGTGGAGCACATGTTTTATGAGCCTGCTTCAAGATTACCTTGGTGGTGGCTGACTTGACCAGGTTGACTCTTTGGTCGGCCTTGCGGAGCTCGTGGTGGCTTGCAGATGAATTAGTGAAGATTTCAACCCCATCCAGACCCATCTGAATATGAGGACTGATCAAATCAGAGAAAACAATTAGTAATCATGAGTTAGGACTGCCTACACAAACAACCCTTAAAACCCGCTTTGGCTCTACCTCCTGGGGTTCCAGAGTTCTTCACATAACTCAGTGCCGATGCAGGTGTCCTTTGTGGATAACACACAGTCACCGAAAGGGACTGTATCCTGATAAACAACAAACACAGAGGAGGTTAAAAACACAGACACAGAAAAGTCCAGAAAACTACAGATGATGACAGTGTTTACTTTTTACCTGGCCTGTTACCTCCTGGATCATTCTGGGCAGGAAGTACTCCTCCACGTTCCTTAAAGTAAAGAGCAGAAACACGAGCACTTTTACTGCCAACCATGTTGTTTCTTAAAGTTTAAATGAATCATATCGAGGTAAACAAACTTGCATATTCTTGACCCTGCAGAAAACACTCCCAGGGATTATCTTTACAGAGCATACATATGGAAAGACTTTACATAAACAACAACCAAACACTCTATTATAGCCATATTCTTATGTTTTTAACATGTCAATAATGAATATGGTTTCTAGTATCTAGGTCCTTTTACTACGAATGGTAAATGAATTGAACGTTTAAAGACAGAATGGTGCAGCATCAGCAGTAAACCAAACCTTGAGATAAAGAGGTAGCTGAAGACTGAGCTTTTCAGCTTTTGATTTTGCAGTTTGTTGTGGACTTCTGAGTAATGACCAACCTTAACTGGTTCCAAGGTGAGAACCAGCGCAGCTCTCTGTAGTTCCCGTGGTTTGCCATCATCATTTTAGGTCTGATCAGAAGGATCTTTCTGCAGGACGAAAGAAAATACAAAAAAATGTACAAACAGACTATTTTCATCTGCAGGGACACACGGTCTGCTGCTCCAAGAGAAATATTCTAAAATGTTCAAACCACAGACATATAAAGACAGCAATAAGACAGGAGTGGTGAGCTGACGTACTTGTTGAGGAACAGGACCCGACAGTTGTAGCGCACGTTGTGATGCATGATGGGCCTGAAACAGAATCAAAAACACTTTGTCAAATGTGACACCAGACCGGACTTCAGGCTACACAAGAAGGTCAGACTGTTAGTGTAAAAACATGCATGTCCTATAACTTTAAACTCCGATTAAATTCAGCAAATATTCAATTATTCAATTCAGTTTTTATCCATGCATACTTAGGTCCATATTCAGGACTTTAACTGGCAGCCGTGCAGTTTCCAACCCTCTATGCACAGCTAGTTTGCAGTGCAGCTGATGCCTTTGGCTATGAAAGAACTTCAAATGTTCATATAACATGTGGCTCAGCGCTGCTATACTGACGACCACATTTCAATTGGTCTCACTGTTTGAAGGTGATACCCACATGCCCACGTCACAGATGATGTCCTGGGTGATGGGAGACTCCAGAAGCTTCTTAAGAACCTGAAAGCAGTGGAGCAACGTGTCTGATTCATAGAAGTGGTCTGCACAGCCATACCCGCTGAAAGAAATGACACGTGTTAGACAAGAGAGGAAGGCTGAGGGAAGTTAAATTGAACCTGACATCTCTGGCAGTGCAAGCAGCTTTTAAAACCTCTGAAAAGCAAAGCATGATTTTTGGTTCTAAACATTATATTTTGGACCAAGACAATTTTGCCAATATACATTTTTGTTATCTGAAATCTAGAAAATATGTGTGGAATTTTGGAACCTGTGAAATTTCTTGGAAATGATTGAGTGCTATTTCCTACATACCATATCTCCAGCTCCGGGCCCAGCCTGTATTTGGCCCCCTGAGCCTTAGCGAGCTCAATACCTGTAAAAAATAAAAACAATAAATAAATAAAAGTTAATTCAGGACCTTAAAGATCACATATTATACTCCTTTACAACCACTTTAAACAAGTCTAAATCCACTGATCCTGTATTTGATCATGTCTATAAACCCCTCTATTTCAGCCCTGATCAGAACAGGCTGTTTCTGTGTCTGTACCTTTAAATATGTAAATGAGCTGTGCCTGACCACGCCCCCTCTCTGGAAGGGAATGTGCCTCGAGCTTTCTCGCTCCATGTCCTATTGTTTACGGTGAGAAGGCAGACTCAGAGGGCAGAACAAACACCTAGCTGTGGGAGTGTCACCCACCTGGGGGAGGGGTTACTGCCCTTTGTGATGTCATGAAGGGAAAATCTCCAAACGGCCTGTTTGAGCACACATTTTCTGATAAGTGGCGCATGGAAAAGATAGAGAAGATGGACTTTCTTATAATTGGAAAAAAGTATTTTGCATATGTGACCTTTAAAACTTTTTGATTGAAGCACTTAAAGGACTGAAAGCTACGCTATTCAACAAGCTCTCAGACATTCAAAGTGAGGGAGGGAGTGAACTGTTGAACTGAGAGTCTTGAAGATACTGAAAGTAAACACTCCATGTTTGTATTCTCTGCAGACCAAACTCTACAGGAATCTACTGGCAGCAAACTGTGACGATGGGCGGCAGGGGCTCAGTCTGCACAGACCAAGTCTGGAAAATGGTTTGGTTGTTGTAGAGGTGCCAGTTCACTTCCTGAGCAATGCCGATGTTCCCTTGAGCAGATCACTGACCACACAACTGCTCAGTCGCTCTTTCATTTGCAGCCCCTCACTCTGACATCTCTCCACAAATGCATGCTCATAAGATCCTGTCTGTGCACGTGTGGGTATGTCAGCCAATGTGTGTGTAGCATGTCTCAAAAGACAGCAGACTGTGGATATGGATATTGGATTCTTTAGCCCCCTTTTATATTATTCAAAGGTAGTGATGATGAGGCACACCTTAAGCTTTATTTCCAATTGAGCGATATGTCTTAACTAAATTTTAAAAAATGTCACAGAATGAAATAAATGCGAAGGCTGCAAAAACAATTCAAGCAAAGAATTTTTGTTCAATGTGAAACTTAATCAGTAAAATTCGATTTTTCTTAGAGACAAGAAAACATATTTATATTTTCATTTCATTGTACAGTGTTTCCCTTGGTTCTTTTTTGTATTATATATGTGCTTTAATACAGTGTATAGCTTCTGTACAGTTTATTTTAATTTACTTAGCTCTTACTACAACTTATTTTTAATTTTATTTGTACTTTTCTACTCTTTTTTTCTTACAATGCTATTCTATCTTATATATTAATTTTAACTTTTTTTGTAGGAGCTGACTCAGGGAGAAACGCACACAAATTCCAATGTACCTGTACTGACCTGTACCTGTGCAAATGGCAATAAACATCTATTCTATTCTACTCTATTGCAGAAAGTCTCCTGATTTATTTATCCTAACTAATGCAACTTGTTTTGCACTCCAGTTGTTTTGTATTTGAATTGCATCAGGTCCAGTCATATTTGGGGGATTTATAGTTTTTTCTAAAAGCATAAGAGCAAGACGGATTTGAAATGTCACATAATGCTCATACTTAAAGGGAATGCATGTTCCTCCACACTTCAGGTCCATCGTGTTATTTTGTTGTCATCGGCTGAACTCTATTTAATCTCTTGCAGCAGGCAGATTCTTTCTAAGTAACCTGCAGAATCGAGCTGAAATAGCAGAATAAATACTCCAGTGTTGCAGCAGGACTTACTCTTTAGTATTCTCTCTGAGTTCCCTTCAAAGTCCAGAGCCCATTGATTTAACGAGCAGGTAGCAAGAGTCACCTTCCGTCCCATGTTCTTGACTTTGGTACAATGAGAGCGTTTCGTGAACAAACCGAGCGGACAGTGACAACAAGCTGCAGCTAAACACAGCAGATAAAGTTATATTAGTTGTTATTAAAAGTATGACAGGACTTTCCTCGGCTTGACTGGACTGCTGAAGTACAGTGTGCTCCCCTCCCTCTTCTTCTTCTTCTTCTTCTCATTCTCTCCGAGTTGTCTCCTTCTACATTTCGGAGCACATTACAGCCCCCTACAGGAGGATGTATGAATTGCATCACTCACCGTGCGAGTACAACAATTTGCATTATGCTCATGTGATGAATTACAAAAACAGTTAGGTAAGATATATAAAAAAAAATAAAAAAATGATCTGATTAAACACATTTATATAGCAATGACTCACCTTTCTTTCCTCATCTTTACATGATAATCTCAGTCTCTGTGTGTCAGAAGCTCGTACTGTACTGAGTATGACCTTCTTCATCAACAGTAAGAAGCTGCATCTTAGATAGTTGAGTTTTAAGTTAAGATTCAAAACACATTTGTTGAATATTGGTTAATTGTGGATATCTAAACTTTCTAGAGATTGGTTGCATTTTGAGCAGGATGTTACAATTTTATTAATATGAAACAGAGAATTTACACATTTCAGAACACATCTGGACTTGATTGGTCATAATAAAAACCAAGAATATTTTCAATACTTATAAATGAAATGAAAAAAAAGCTATGTATGTATGTTTTCATGATACCTCAAGTTGTATTTGGGCTGAAGAGACGGCATTGACACCAAACATTTCACCACTAAATGTCACTACGTTCAAACTGTCCTCATTGTTCCTGAAAGGTCACTAGAGAAAAGATAGACTGAAGTGTCACAATGACATCATTTACAGGACTTCACAAAAACAGAGTACAATCAATCTCATCTTTGAGTCCAGGACATTATGTTACTTTCAGATGAACAATCCAGATCCAGTCAGGGGATCTGGGAGTCTCTCAAGCGAAAGGTCGAGGTTCGATTCCCAGTTCCTGCAGCCACATGTCCGATGTGTCTTTGGGCAAGACACTTAACCTCATACATACATAGCAGCCTCTGCCATCAGGGTGTGAAGGCGAAGGTGTGACCTGCGGTGTAAAAGCTCTATACAAGTTCAAGTCCACCAGTCTCACGTGGGAGCAGTCTTTTAAAGCGTTCACTTCCTCTGATTTCCTTTTCCTTCCAAACAATTTCCAAGAATTTTAATTATTTATTTCCGGGTTGCTTGTTCAGTCTCTGTGCCAAAGCATAATCCTCGTTCTTTGTGTTCTGCAACCCCATCTTTCAATCTTCTTATTGTTCTTCCCTAAATATCATCAATGACAGCTTATGAAGAATATATAATCAACATCAATCTTAATATCATAATCATCTTCATCAATATCATCATCATTAGAATATCATCAGTAGCATCAATGTCATTTGGTGCATAGTTATTAATGGAAGAGCTGTCTTTGGCTTTTTCTCAAAGGATGAAAAGGACTCCGTGGATTGAAGGGAGTTTGGTATTAATTCCACCACCGGGTGTATTACAGAGGAGAAGAGTCTAGCTGGAGGCTTAAGGTGATGGTGTGAAGGTAGGAGTAGACGCCTTTCATTGACAGAGCGTAGTTGGCCGTAGGGAGTGTACACACATTGATGAGGGAGTTCAGGTAAGAAGAAGACATTGTTGATGCTGTTTTGTAAGCGAGCAGCAGCGTGGAGGGATATGAACATCAGAGTGACATGTGCTGTGTTGGTTAGTTTAAAGACCAGTCATGCTGAATCACCTGCAGAGGTTTGAGAGTGCATGTTGTGGTAGACCTGTCAGTTAAGAGTTGCAGTAGTCAATGCGTGATATGAGCATGTACCAGGAGCTGTGCAGGATGCTCTGACAGGTCGAGTCTGACCTCCCTGATGTTGTACAGAGCAATTTTGACACTGGTGTGATTTCATTCTTCATTTTGAGCAAGTCTTTTCTTCTGAATGTTTCATTGTGATTGCCATCTCGGTATAGCTTTGTTGCAAACTCTGTTGCAATGCGTCTTAATTGTTGAAACTGACCATAAGGCATATCCATGTCTTTTAGATTCTTGGCGTCAAAACTACTCACCCTTTCACCACATTGCAACCCCTTCAAAAGATGAATCAACTCCCTTGTTTTGTTCCTTCATGCATCTACAGACACCCATTATGGACAAAATAAACATATATCTAGAGAGGGAGTTCTGTGCTTTCCGTCAGCTTATCGGGCCATACACACTTTGATGAGGATGAGGGAGCTCATTTCTTATTCACAACAGGTCAATAAATCCCACAGATAGCCCCTTTAAACTAAAAAAAAAAACACTAAATCAACTGAAACACGATGTGATGGTTTTTATCTTTGACTTTAGGGATGATACTTTTCACTTGACTGTACTTTTATAAGAAGGTAAAGCATTAACAAAAGTCTGACTCAAATGAAATCCCCAAGGAGAGCAGCTCTGTCGAGTAAGTAACAGACTTTATTTTTGTAGAAAACATGCACTTGGTGTGTAGACAGTGTAAATGTGTGAAAACAACATTTCTTTGTGGGTTACAAAGCTGAGGGGGAGGTCATCGGTGAGAGCGGAAACTGTCAGTGTGAAAATGTTACAATCACAAACACTCCATATAACCGTCAGGTGTTTTCAAACCACGCTGGAGGAAAACAGTGCAGTCATCTTCTGTCCTTCTTCAGAGCCATTCCCATCAGTCAGATTTTGCATCATCAGTTTTGTCACTTTGTGTGTGTGCACAGAGGGGTGTTTCATAAAGCTGCATCACCAGTGAAGGTCAGACTTATCTGAGTAAATCAGGAGAACTCAAACTTATCATCAGGGAGTTCAGTCTCATTGAAGTGGACAGGTTGGTTAAATACTTTAGTCAGCATTTAAAAATGTAACAAATCACTGGTTGGATTATCAGAAAGAGTTTTACACATACTCATAGATCTAAGATGAAGAACAATAATGACTTTGGTCATCATCTTACTTTTCATCAAGCTCCATCAGCAGGTCATTTTCATTAATTAGTCAAAAGTTCAGATAAATAAATATATATTTTAGAGCCCGACCGATTAATCTGCCAGCCGATAATATTGGCCGATGTTGGCTTATCAAGTGACTATCACTATCGGCTAATTTTATCGCAGATATGCGTTGATATGACTACATTTATACACCAGTCAACCATAATTTTATTTGAGTGTCATTGTATTTCAGAAGCATTTCTCTTTCTGTCAACAGCAGAGTGTGCTTATACAGATTACAACAAGCATTATCAGCCTGACCATCTTGTCTTCATCTTTTCCACAGTGGAAACATTTGATCTTTATCTATATCTATGAATCTCTACAGATTGATGATGGATACAAGACAGACATCTGCCAATATATCGACATCAGATTTTTTTTCTCTTTCCTATATTGGTATCGGCATAGGCCCCAAAAATCAAAATCCCATATCGATCAGGCCCTAATATATAAATATATAAATATATATATATGTATATCAATCAAAAACGGACGCATCTAGAGGGATGACCCATAGACTGTTTGTACAACTGGACAGTTAACTCAGCCTCTTCCCATTAAACAGCCAAAATATCCCCGTAACGAGCGCTGACATTTTTTGGCTTTGCAACCAGAGGGACAATCTGGAAATCGTTGCATTGATGTTAAAAAACACACATTTAACGTACCAATAAAATTGAACAAATCCCTTAGGCAGGTACAGCCCACAGCAGAACAGATTATTGTGTGCATTTTAAGCAGACGCTCGAGGTTGTGTTGGGGTGTCATTATGTTTTCTCAGCCACCAGAAGTTCCTTCAGCAGGAGGAGCTGTAAGTTATTTGGCTTCACCTGAGGTAAGGTGATCCCTGTCCATTCTTTCTACAGTCTATGGGATGAACAGGGATGATGTGGGATTATCAAAGACCTAAAGGATTAGCATGTGTGAGTGGATAGTGTAAAAGAAATGATTGAGTGTTCTTGTTGCTGTTCATTCAGGTGGTGATTAACATGTGAAAACAATGATGACAAAGTGTGGATGGACTATCATATAGGATAAGGACCTCTGTCCACACAGGCAGTTTTTTACACTGGCAGTACCCATTTTCAATACGAAAACCGATGTACAGTAGTTATTATGAGCGTTATGTAACGCTCATAATTTAAACAGCTCAACTTTTGGAACAACGCCGCGCTCAACAATGTCACTTCTTCCTCACCAATTAATATAAATCAAGAAGGTGCGGGACATCTGAAATCAGCTTTGTTAACAACAATGGCGGAGGATCTTTTTAGTGACTTTCCTTAAATAAAGGAAAAATATTTAGCACATAGAGCTCTTTAAAACAGACCTAACGGCCACTACTAACGTTTGTAACCTAGCAACAATAAGCACCGGTGAGAAGCGCTCTGAAAGTGAGGTGGGATGCCAGCGCAAATAAGTCCCTAAAAGTACACAGGCTCTTAATCAGCATTACAAGATACAAAATCATTGTGACTGCCTCTCATGGGAACACATGTGTTAATATGCCTTGGTTAACACACACGCATGCATGCACACACGCACACACGCACACACACACACACACACACACACACACACGCACACACACACACACACACAGACTCGCACATTTAATTTTGAAATAAATAGCAATATGTACAAGAGGTCTGAAAATCTAAAATACACAGTATGGCAGTTGACTCAGCACTTCTACATATAACACATAACATACATCATGTAAACAAAACACTAGATGCTTAGCCCTGTCATGTCAAAACGACTTAGAAAACCATAAAAGTAAGGTGTACAAGAATTCCAGGCTGCAATAATCAAGCTTAATCAGATCCAGACACAAGCCAGGCACAAGGCTTTTAGGTTTGTGTAAGGGTGGTCGGTGATCCCAGACGTCACATTGCAAAGGTAACTTTATGAAGACTCTCTGACAGTCTTATCCCCAATGACAGATTAAAAACAAAAACAAAGGAAGAACTCCCATATGAGCTCACAGGTGAGAATAACATGATCCAACCTTTGCTTGTACCGGGAACCCGGCCTAACTCCTCCAGCTCAACAAAATGAAAAGCTCTCAGTAAGAGGAAGTGGAACAGAAGGTAAGGCGAAGC